TGGATACTTCCTTTCACCGCCACCACCTGTAAGCACTCACTGTGAGCATTTAGTAGAGTGGTTCTCAACTTGGTGGGTACCACCACTAGTAAGAACTTGCTGTAAGCATCTAATAGAGTGGTTCTCAACTTGGTGAGTATCACCGCTTGTAAGAACTTGCTGTAAGCATCTAATAGAGTGGTTCTCAACTTGGTGGGTACCACCACTAGTAAGAACTTGCTGTAAGCATCTAATAGAGTGGTTCTCAACTTGGTGGGTACTACCATCTGTAAGCATCTAAAGCTGTGTTTCCCAAAACTGCTCATACTCTGCAGACAAAAATACCTCCCTGGCATGACTTTGTAGGACAGCAAACAGGAGTACCACCATTTTACTACAGTACTGCTGTTTGCATATACAACAGTCCTACACATATAAAGCACTGAGTACAAAGCTGCAACAAAAACAAATGTTTTACGAGTTTGGCACAAACTGCATTGAAACACTGGTGAAAAGGCACAGTTGATCATGATTTGTATGAGGTTTAACATTTGATCACAAGCTGAATGTGAGCTTAACAATATAATAACATGGTTTGTGAACAGTTAATAGGACAATAATCATACTGTAAAAGAAAAGTGCATCTTATGATAAACAGTTGAGTTGCTTCCAGAAAAGAAAGACCTTATTCATGCCACTGAGTACATGGTTCTAAAGTCACATTTCTATGAGGACATTAAAAGTGAGTTTGAGGCAGCCATAAGAACCCAGTGGACCATTTGCCCTCCAGGACACAGCTGGAAGACCCAATGACCTCCTCACATGAAACAGAAATAGACCATTATATTTAGACTGCATACTGGACACAACATACTCTGCAGCCATCAGTTCTCTTTATGCCTAGTAGCACATGAGGCTTCAGAGAGGACTTTCCATGCTTTCCTATTCTGTGCAATCTTCAGTGCAGTTTTCCATGTCAGAGATGTCGCACACAGGTTACTTTCCATCATTCATCTCCACGTTGTTTTTGGACGCCCCTTTTTTCTCTTCCCCTCTGGTTTCCAAGTGAGACTCTGTCACAGACAGACTTCAAAGGTACAGAAAATTCCAGATTGGGGGGTCCATTTTCTCTACATGCAGTACAGAGATCACAGGTAGGGCTGGCTGGCATTCCAATGGAAACTATACTGTATGGATCCGTGGAAGACATGCATCAAATTAAAAACCAATACAGGGAGAATGAACAGAAAAAATCCATATTTTTGTTATAGACCAAGCGGCACTAAACCGCTGATGTAATCATTATTACACTGACCACATTTACTGCCTGTGACATTTCCTGGTAGCCATTTTAAGCAGGGTCGATATGGGAGCCAAGGTCAGTTATAAATAAATCTGCCTTTATGCAGACTTGAAGTTAAGACATTCTGGCTGGTCAGCTAGCACCTTTAGCCATGGACCTTTTAGTTGCCAGGTGGAATTGTTGGAGTGTCCATCAGTTTGCATACGTAGGGAAAAATTAACATTATTTTTTTTAATGAAAACCATTTAGATGCAAGACCTCCACTGCTAAAGAACATGTATAAGCCCAGGTGGAGTTACGTTTGTAATGGTTTTGGTGACATGTTTTTAATTTTTTTAATTTAGGATGTCTCCTTTGAAGTTGGACTGCATCTACCTAAGAGGGTAGGAACTTACAGTCTGCATACAAATAAGTCAGATCTGTCAAATGGATGTGCACACAAAACTCAAGTTCTAGAACAAGACCAAAGTCCAGAAGTGGACAATCAACCAGAACTTTCCACTGGAGTTGACAGCCGGTGAACGTGAAGTAGAGGTGTACCACCCCAGGTCAGCTGGCGAACTCACAAAGTTTTGACCAAAATGCACGCCTATGAACTGAATTGTGGAGTCATTGATAAGACTTGCTAATAGTAAACTTCAGTGTCCTTGTACTGGAATCCACAGAAAGAAGAAGAAGGAAAATTAGGAATTTTTTTTTTTTTTTTTTAAAATTATGGACAGACTTAAATAAAATACATCATGTTCATGGAGTCAGCAAAGGATGGTACATTAGGAATGCAGAAAGAATAAGTGAATAATATAGTTCCAAGATAAACCTATAACCTTCAAAGAAAACTTGACCACTGGCCTCTAGGTTCATCTTATCCTATAAAAAAACATACAGTCTGAGTTCCTGGGCCCTATTGTGGGGAAAACAAGAACAGACCTACTGACTCCCCAACAAGCATGTTACAGGAGTAAATTAACTGGGTGCTTCTTTTGAATTCGAAGTGTATCTGCCCAAGCGGCTAGGAAAAGCCAACTTCACACAAATAAGCCAATAAAATAGTCCAGAGACAGAAAAAAAAACCAGAACTTTCTGCCAGAGTTAACAGCCAGTGAACGTGAAGAAGAAGAAGAAGAAGCATAAACAAAACTAGATATGTAGATAGACTGAGGAAGGAAGGCAATATAAATACTAGACTTGACATCACGTTTTGTATCAGAGCAGATACAACAGTACTGGAGACAGAAGGCTGTGAATAAACATGACAACCAAGATCATATGGCACGGTATCGTAAGAATAACTTGAAAAATAAAACAAACAAAAATCAGTTGAAAGTGGATCGGGAAATATTAATTATTTGTTCAAATGTTGTTTTTAACATTATGTTGGAGTGTTGACAGTCAAAAGCCGAAAAATATGTGGAGGAAACATGACCAAACTTGTAGGTGTGGTCATTCAAAATGAAAGAAATAATTTGAATAGTATCACATTCAAATGAAGAATACATGTGGAATAACAATTCAATCAATTAAAAACTTTACATCACAGGTTGCTCACAGAATTGAAACAAGAAACATTAATCATTAAATTACATCAGTATAAAGAAGATTGTACAAGATCGCATTTGAGGATAAAACCCACAGCCATTAAAAAAGGAAATGTCAAGGTTACATATTGATCTTGGGAAATGTCACAAACAACGTATAAAATTTAGTACACATTAACATAAATATACATTTAAAAAAAAAAAAAAAAACTAGATATAGTAAATTGAGTGTGAAAGTGAATTTTACAGCCGGCATGGAATAAAAAAAATTTTAAAATTAGTTTATAAATAAATTCAGGTGAATTAAAATTTGTTTTGTCGAGCAGAATGAATCAGTGTGTGGTAAAATAAAATAAAGTGAAACAAAATTATTCTGCAACATATTACTGTAACATGGGAGCCACCACAGTGAAGTGGCCTGCCTTACAGCTCGGTGGTTATGTGTTTGAATCCCAGTTGATGAAGGGATTTTAAAATTGTGTTTGTCTTTGATGCTGAAAATTTTAACAACAGATGGAACCAAATGTATTACTTTAAAAAACAATTACGAGGGATAGAAAGGGTGAACAAGTAAAAACAGATCATTTTACTGGTACCAACAGCATTAGAACTCTGTGCTGGCTGCTGAAGATGAGGATGGAGCATGCATGGGAATGCCCCGAGTGCTTTGATGTCACTTCTTGACTCAGCTCAATTTAACAGATCATTTGATGTTATAATCAGCAAATAACAAATTTAGGCAGACAACTTAAACTCTTTACAGAAGTCACAAGAAGAAAAAAACATTTTAATGTTATATAATATTTCAAAAATAAACCCTATATTTTATAATGGAACTTATTATATCCACATGGATCAATTTGACCCACATACAGAGGAGTGTTAAAGCGTGAGAAGATCGACTTCATTGCATCAGGTTTTCCCCCATACTGCTCAGTCTCTCTCTGCAGATTCATTTTTTGAATAATAAGAGTGTTGGACAAAGCACAAAACTAGGGGTCATTAGTCAAGACCCCTAGGGATTAAAAACAAACGTCAATAGTCAGGATCCCTAGGGATTAAAAACAAACATCATTAGTCAGGACCCCTAGGGATTAAAAACAAACGTCATTAGTCAGGACCCCTAGGGATTAAAAACAAACGTCATTAGTCAGGACCCCTAGGGATTAAAAACAAACGTCATTAGTCAGGACCCCTAGGGATTAAAAACAAACGCACTGAAGGGCAGACCAAAATTCAGTCCCCCAACCTCGAGAGCACAAGGCAGACGTATAAAAAAATTAAAAAAATAGTCATACAAAATCCCACATAGACAAAAATGTAATGACTTCTGAGACTCAATGTTACAAAATGATTGTAGCATCCACAAGTTGTTTGATGAATACACGTTCAATAATACTTTATACACAAAAATCAGTGAAGGAAATTGAACTGTTCATGGCAATGCTATATTAGGAAAATTGTTTCAATGACTGGTCCCACATGATTTTGCTACTGCAAACAGGTTTCATCCCAAAAGTTATCTCAGTGTAAATGAAAATGTACAACTTTTGTGTTCCATGTCTGTTGCATTGATATTGAGCAGGTTACGATCATTATATAATTATCTGCCTTGTGGATCTCTACATACTTCAATGGAAAAGAAAATGATAACTGTTCTGAAGAAATTTCCCTATTTTTCCTTTATGTGCATGTCTTTTTCATGCTAATTATATGTTGTGTTCTTTTATTCTTCTGTAATTGCATGCCCTTCATCTATAGACTTGCACACATCTAATTTATTCATGTTTTGTCTTTGTTATCCTACTTTCCTTGCCCTTCAGTATTCTCTATTTCTTCTGTTTGCCTTAAAATTTGAAAAAAACTATGAGGGCCTTAGCTATTATATTATGTAAATCTGTCAAATGTTCAAGACCTGTAGATCCATTATTTGTTTAAATATTATTTTATAATTCCTTCATGTAATTGGGGGGGGGGGGGGGGGGGGGGGGGGTGGTAATGTAAAACATTTATCAACCTTAAGTGCCTTGTTGACTGGCCTGGGGGATTATACCTCTCCACAATCTGCGATTAGCAACTCTGTGTATCAGTTCATTTGTTGACACCCCTCTATTAATTACAGTTCATTTGTTGACACCCCTCTATTAAATAATTAGCTATCTTATAAACAAATATTTGCTTACTTAGTAAAGCGGTTGCGATTTATCATCTAGTTTGGGCCCTACTCCTGAACCAGACTGAAATCGATCAAGCTGTCGTTTCCTGGCTTCATTGCTAAAGATATTGGCCACGTCCTCGACTCGCAGATGTTCAGCCTCTATAACGGCCTCTGTGGCCAGGTATTTTTCTCTCAACATCTGAAGCTTGACAATTCTAGGAACATCTGGCACAATGAAAGCTATTGCCCAAATAGACAGCTGGACCGTCAACTGAAATAAATGAAATTTGTTTAGCCACTAACAGGTGTGTACGAGGTCTGTTTACAACAAAAGTCTCTGACCTGTGGCCGAGAATACAAACAAAAATTACTTACCTGGAGATTTGAAACCCTAACTCCATGTTGGAACTGCACACACTTCTTTATGTGAGGGACTGTTGGCAAAAGTTGCCGGCCACACACTTCTTCATGTGGGGGACTGTTGTCAAAGGTTCCCGACCACACAAAGAGAAAGCGTCTCAAGACAAATGCTGTCCATATGCTTTATTATGACACAATGAGATAGGATGGACAATTCCAATTTATGGAAATTCTCAAATAATTTCTTGAAAAAAAAAATGTTTATTACAGGATGCAGTGGTATAGAGGTTAAAGTCAAAAGGATCGACTTTATTGCACTGGGTTTTTATCCCATATGGCTCTATCTCTCTCTGCTAGCTGACTGCCGAGAGTGCCTCACAGCACGAACTCTGTAGCTCCAGTGACAACCTCCAGGGATCTCCATGAAAATTGCACTCACGAACTGAAGTGCTTAGCCGTGAAATGAACCTTGACCTTCAGAGCGGCTTGACCACTTTGCCACAGAGACACCCCAAAAGTATCGCCCAACATGGGACACGAACCCACGACCATGAGATTAAGAGTCTCATGCTCTGCCAACTGAGCTAGCAGCTGCTTAGAGAGAAAAATTACTGATTCTTGGTAGATTCTGGAAATAATGATTCTTGACTAAAGGGTTGACAAATACAAAAGTGGAGAGAAAATTAGAGACACCAAGTGCATGATAAAGTAGGGGAACTAGTTTAGATCTAAAGTCTATACAGCAGCTATGATGAGAGCGACCTTCCGCAAAGTATTATCTCCTGGGCGTTGATGACGATGTTAACTTTTAGTGGAGATATGAGTGCCCAGGACGTTATACAAATGCAAACAATTTTTTGCAAACCAGCAAGCCTTCTTTTTTTTTTGCAAGTACAACTTTAGGCTGCTAGGAGAAAGTAACTTAGCTGCACTGCAATAAATAGTGACAATTAAATTAAAACTATGTTGCAATAACTTTAAACCTCTCTTGCATTCAACCTTAAAAAAAGTGGTTGGCAGATTTTGTTGTTTAAAGCTCGGCTGTGATGTCTAAGTCTTTCGGCCCAGCACATTCAATTTCAGCAAATGAAAAGTGCATTATCAGTCTGTCACAAAGCATACTGGGCAATGGAGGTACCTTGGCACGGAAATTACGCCAGAAACGAATTGATAATGGATGAACAGAGGAACTTTTATGAAAACCACATTTGCAAGGTACCTGTTACTTGATGATGATGATAATGACAGTCGTGGTGATGATAGTAATGATGATGATGATGACTCACCACAAAAAATATAATGAAAGCAAGTCTGGCCGCTAAAATATGCCAGTAGACAATGGTAAACTCGTAAGCATCCGGTGAACCAGGCGGATTTCTATAGTCTCGATATCTGTAACAGAAATATTGAAACAATGTTCACTATGAGTGTGCCATGCTCCACATAATGTAGCTCACACATTTCTGAAGTTACTAAAAGCCTTGTAGTGCGGCTTGAGTACCTGATGTTTCTTCTTCTCCTTTCACCCATAAAACTGTGGTTAGCATATTGTTTTGTGGTTTACAGGTAGGCTGTGATATCTAAACTTTTGGGCCCAGAACATCCAATTCTAGCATTAATTAGTGGTCTTTTACCTGCCAAAAGAACTGGTTCCTGTAACCAGAAGGGACAACACGCACTCACCATCGATTCTTTGTCTTAGGTTCCCCGTTCAACTCACTTCTAAGCAAAAAACTGCCTAGCATTAGCTGTGTGTCTATTTTCCTACTAATACAATCATCTTTCAGCTCTATTTGTCCATATTATAATTAGCAAGGTCACAACATTAGTGTGCAACCTAAGAAAGGGGTCACTGTACTATTTCCTGCAATGGGAAAGCTGGAAGGGATGAAAAGCAAGGAGAGAACAAATAAATAAATCATCTCAGCCATCCTGGAATGAAGGAACAGTTGTAAAAAATACAAATACTAATTGGCAGTACGTGAGACAGAAGGATGTGGGTAGATGTGATGACCACTACCGTTTTGAATGGCCTATTTAAAAAAAAAAAAAAATGGATTTATAAAAGTACCTTCGAGTAATTTTGGGATTTTTTAAAATTTTTTATTTTCAAAAGCGAACTCAGGTAGATCCAGTCTATAATAGGTCAGATGTATTTTTTCATCTTGTTGTAGCATCACCTGTCCTGTTTTATTTGTGTATGATTTGCAACCAAAAGATAAGAATAGATATTTCTTAGAAACCTTGACACAGTTGTGCATATTTTATTGTGAGAAACTAAAACTGGTTTCCTCTACACATAGAATGTTTGCAGGTTATGGACTGTGAACAGAGTTTAATCATCTTGACATACCAGGCTTGACGTTGACCGCAGGCAGTGTAGTAGAGACAATTTTGTGTTGATTTTGACAATGTTATGAGTGACAGACCGTTCAGGAAGAAATGACAAAATACTGAATGTAAAATTTTCTAATAAGACCTGACAACAGCCAGTAATTTGGTTCATAATGTCATGAAGAGAAAACAAAACTAACACACTGAAAGCTCCACAGTGTCATGAAAAGAAAACAGAACTAACACACTGAAAGCTCCACAGTGTCATGAAGAGAAAACAGAACTAACACACTGAAAGCTCCACAGTGTCATGAAGAGAAAACAGAACTAACACACTAAAAGCTCCACAGTGTCATGAAGAGAAAACAGAACTAACACACTGAAAGCTCCACAGTGTCATGAAAAGAAAACAGAACTAACACACTGAAAGCTCCATGACTGCCTACCTGCATTCTGTAACATTTCCAAATTCATTAACTTTTAGGTCAGCAGGTCGGCTATCCTTCTCAAAGTCTGAGACGTTGAACACAGACAGGCTGAAGTTGACATAACCATTAAGGGTTTCATTGTCGTTGTATGCGTACATGTACACCAGTTTTGGGATAAAGTCAGACGTAAAGGCAATGATCAGCGCCTGGGGAAATGTAAGTACATCATTCAAGTTATAAAATTGGGGTATATTCATCACACTCCAGACACATCCATAGGTGCTCAGTTTCCCCCTTCAACATAAACATCATCCCACAGTTAATAGGGTCCTTAGTTGACTAGACAAATTTTGACACCATGCTTGCTAAGAACCAAGCATCCCATTTACATTTATCTACCCCAGTGTAAGAATCATAATACACACAAGAATCCCATGTGTACATGAGAAGATCAATGTCAAAATTCTGAGACACATGTGTACATGAGAATATCAATGACAAAATACTAATACACATGTGTACGTGAGAAGATCAACGTCAAAATACTGAGACACATGTGTACATGGGAAGATCAATGTCAAAACACTGAGACACATGTGTACGTGAGAAGATCAATGTCAAAACACTGAGACATGTGTACCTGAGAAGATCAATGTCAAAATACTGAGACACATGTGAAAACAAACATTTAATTAGCAACAAATTGTTAATTGTTATCTTCATCCTACCACATTGATCCAACCCATTCTTGCTTGGTCCTTGGATGCAGCAGCCATCTTAGTGTCAACATCTGAACATGACGCTTGTTCTTTCAGTTTACGTTATGAGATTCGAGGGTGAGGAGACAGATGTGGCAACAGGGTTAGTTTGAGGGTGTCAGAAGCTGAGGGTCTCAAACAGTGGCAGTCCTGGACAGTTAGCAGGGCGCCAGGGAATTGACCAAAAGTTGAACTAGATAAATTGTTTGTAGCAAAACCTGGTTTCCTTGCAGTAAACAATTATTGGATGGCAAAGTGAGATTATGAGAACATCACGCTTATTGTCATCATCGTCATCATCATCAGTATTTCAGTCACAGGCTAGTTGTTGAGACTGTTGCTAATTCCCTTTCCTTGTTAATTATCTGGTTTTACGATTGAATATAATTGTGATGATGTGCTTTGCATGAGGATGACCCTGCTTTGCATTCTCCACACTCACAGCTACTGAAGCAAAAAAAAAAAAAAACGTGCGACAAACAACTGCACGAGATACTTGGGGCTGGAAAAGTAAAATAAGGAAAGTCCGAGGTTGACTCGTGGTCAGTTGTGTACCATAGTTGGAAAAGGACAGTCGTGATGGGGTCAATGTAGTTTGAATTAAGTGTGATGAGCCTTCTTAGCATGATCTTCACACTCAAAACACATCATCACAATAATGTTTTTGTATTGACAAGGACTTCTAAAAGAAAACATAAAAATGTTGATGCGAGAAGGTTCTAGATTCCATACATGATTTTGAAACAGTTTCCTAGGATAGAAAAAAATCGATGAATAAGCTGCAAGCTCTATGTGATGTACAATGGCACAACAAGATGATGACTGCATTAGTAGACTTTTGCATGCTTGTATTACTGAGACTGTCCTTGGTCTTTTCCCTTCATGTTTTCCCCAATTTTGTGCCTCTCGAAAGTGCTCCATTTTGTTTTCTTTGTGTTATTGCAAAATGAAGAAAACTCAAATGTTTTTGTTTTTTTTAAAACTTTCAGTAAAATAAGAACAGGAACAGGGAGATAACTCACATTAGTCATTATTGCAACTTGAGAGATGCCTCGTAGAATACCAAACCAGATCCCTGAAATGAGAGAAGTCACAATTCTATTAGCAGCACAATGTGTTCGTATAAGTGTGGTGCAGACAGATGTAGTCAATATTTTCATAAAACACTTATAGATATTTCGTGTTAAATTAATATATTACAAATTTTTTTTTAATGGTTCTATAAATTTATTATCAGCAATCCATGTTGAGCTAGGACCTTAGTAGTCTAATCCTTACGTCCTTTTTAGGACGAAATTTTTTGTTCTTTGAAGCCCCACCATGGCTTTTGCCAGGGGCCACAATATAGGCAGGCCATAAATGTGGCTAATTGTCTGAACGCGGTTTCTGGGACCTCTCCAGGGTGATCCTCATCCACATGGTGGCACTTTGTGTCACCGGGTGTTTATCGCTCTGTGTGATGTCCTGGTGGGGTAGAGAGTCAGTCAGTCAGCTGGGACCTCTCCACGGGTGATCCTCATCCGCATGGTGGCACTTTGTGTCACCGGGTGTTTATCGCTCTGTGTGATGTGCTGACGGGGTAAAATCTACTTACTTACTTACTTGATCTGGTTTCACACCACTTACAAGACTGTTACTTTATCAAAATGAGTGTTGAGAAGAAATGGTTCAACCAGCTGGTGGAAGTAAACGTAGCGGTACTGGAAGGGAAAGTGTCCAGTGTGAAAATGGAAATACTAAGAGGCAGAGGGAGATCTAGAAAATATGGATTGAAGGAGTCACTGACATCTCAAGACGCCCAAGCATCAGAGTATACTAGGCAATTAATTGAGCATGCCATAGCCTGGATTTGTTATCTGTTCATATGTGGTGCCTAATGACACAAAGCAGGTACTGACAACAGAAGACACTGGTAGCTATGAAAGTTTTTTAACAACAGTGAAGAAAATGCAGTGGCATGGAAATGTAATAAGATCTAACGTCCTCTCAAAAACAATACTACAGGGCCCAGTAGAGGGAAAGAAGAAAAGAGACATACCAAGAAAGATCTAAATACAGAACTTGACTGAATGGACAGACGTTAGGCATGCAACCATGAAGTCCACTACATCTGACCATTGAAGGTGGAGGCAGCTGATCAGACAGTCAGCTGCAGCTGGTGACCCAACGACATGCGGAGTTATGGGACAATGATGATTACAAAAGAAGAAAGAATGAGAGTAGCCACAGTGTCACAAAAACAGAAGTACAACACAAAAAGAAACTCTGGTATTTACCAATATCCTGAGCTTTCATGGCGAGTGGTCTTCTCCACTGAGTGATGAACTTGTAGGCGTCCAGTCTGATCTCGATGATGTTGTTGAGGAGAGCAAACAGCGGCGCCAGAGGGAAGGCAGCCACAAAAATTGTCACAAAGCCGTATTGTATTACTGGAGGATAAGATAACATTGGTACACTGTATGCAAGTGATGTCCGACATTCTCTATCACATACAAAACATTCAGATGTACACACATACACAGGCGAGAGAGAGAGAGAGGGGGGGGGGGAGGGGAGAGAGAGAGAGAGAAAAACAGAGAGACACAGAAAGAATCTGGGGGGGGGGGGGGGGGGCGGCGGGGCACAGGACACTTAAGCGAAAAAAAAAAATCTGTATACTAAATTCACACAGCATCAAAGAATGCTTGCAAGTTTCTTTTTACTTTCACAACTTAATCAAGGTGTTCAGAGTTGTTACCCTACACTTCCAGATATTTATTATTAGGGCCAACGGCTTGAACAACATTGGCTGAAGTGTCTAGGTGTCAGGTGTATTGGGCATATAGGGCTAGACCTATATTTTATCAACCAATCGGCACTCAGTGGGTGATGTGGTCAACATCCAGCCAGCCTAGGACTTTTAATGGTACCCATTTAAGGCTGGGTCAACCTGAGAGTCAAGGTTATGTTTAGAAAAAAAAAAAAGTCCAGCGCCATCCAGATTTGAACCCATGACTTCTGGATCTGCAGGTGAGAAGTAGCTGCTACACCATGGCAGCTCCCAATTTCTATCTGGACCAGCATTCACGTGAGTCAGGATGTTGTTTTTTTGTTGTTGCTGAAGAGAACATTATAAGTACATTCCTACAACCATTATATCTAACTTAAAAACACACACACACACATCACATGTTGATATGTTTTTGCAGATTGTAATCAAAACAGTCTGAGTGTATATTTCAGAGTGAAGGTCCCTTTTTACACAAGTAGTGAGTGCATCTGGTGTATGATGCTGGACCTATCAGCACACATTAGCTGATGTGCCTTTACTTCCCAACACTATCTGGTACCCATTTTACACTGGATTTGAACCAAAGACCTTTGGGCTGGAGTGGAGCATCTAGCCACTACACACAGCAGCTCCCAGAATACACCAGCAAATTGTTTATACTAGAAAGGGTTTCCTCTATTGTCCACGATTAAAAACTAGATAACACAAGATTACAAGATCCCCCTCTGGGATCCAGGCACCCATTATGGAGGGAAAATAGACCCAATGTGGAGGGAAAATATACCCACTGTAGAGGGAAAATAGACCCACTGTGGAGTGAAAATAGATCCACTGTGGAGGGAAAAGTAGACCCACTGTGGAGGGAAAATAGACCCACTGTAGAGAAAAAATAGACCCACTGTGGAGGGAAAATAGACCCACCGTGGAGGGAAAATAGACCCACTGTAGAGGGAAAATAGACCCACTGTGGAGAGAAAATAGACCCACTGCGGAGGGAAAATAGACCCACTGTGGAGGGAAAATAGACCCACTGTGGAGGGAAAATAGATCCACTGCCACCTTAAAAGCATGGACTGTTTCTGCCTCGGAGGAAAAAAAACCAACAGTCTGCACACAAATTAGCCACATATGTAAAATAAAAAAAAAACTCATAGAACAAGAGTAAAACCCAGAAGTGAGTGAACAATTATAACTTTCTACCAGACTTTACAGCCGGTGAACGAACGAACGAACAAACTTTATTTTCAAAGGGTCACAAATTGGGCACGCAGGCCCGTCTTACGGTGAACATGAAGGATGAGGCTATTATAAGTTATCTCTACACCTGAGTGTTGAAAAAGAAAGAATATACATGAGCACACTACAAGTGAGAGGATTTGTGAAATCAAATAAGAATTCTCTACCCATCTCCAAGTACTCATCAAAGAGTCCCAAGTTTGGCATACTCTCCATGACATAATCTTTCTCCCAGGATGCCACTTTCTCTTTCTTCTTTTCCTCTAGTTCCTTGACTTTTCTAAACTTGAACCAGTTCATAAATTTCCTAAAAAAGAGTTGGAAAAAGGAAAAATTATTAATAACATTGCTGTTTTTGTTGTCGTCATCAACATCATTATCATGATCATCAGTAAATAACTTTTGTTCACAAAACAGTCTTTCTATTAAATTTTCAACTGATTTAAGCAAAAACATGTATTGTCTTGCCTCCCAGAAAACAACAGAACCAAACAAACAGTAAGTAGGTGTTAAGAAACACTAGCTTTCAGGAACAAAACTGGCAGAAGCAATGCTCTCTTGAGTTCTCTTTCCCTGATTGTGTCACAAGAAATTTTGAATAAAAGGCAACAAATAACAACTGGTATAATCGTATACTACGTGGGAGCTGAGGTCACAAGCCCGGGAACAAGTCTCAAACTGGTTACATTTGAAGCATCTCTAAGGATTACAGCTGTGGCCCAAAGTCTGGCTGATGCTGCGTTCATCATGATGGATGTTAATGTGGAGCTTCCACACCAGTCCTGCTCAGCCTTTGAATTTCTGAGCTTGGAGTGGGCAGTAACAATTCTGCAACATATTCTCATTTGTTGGTGTTGTTGGCAATGAAAGGTACTACTTGTCTTACCTCTATACTAAAGGTACCCACTGTCATCTAGTTAACTACTTGTCTTACATTTCCCTCAAGTCTCTATACTGAAGTTATCCACTGTCAACTGGTTAACTACTTGTCTTACCTTTCACCCAGTCTCCATACTAAATGTAGCCACTATCTGGTTAACTACTTGTCTTACCTTTCCCTCAAGTCTCCATACTGAAGTTATCCACTGTGATCTGGTTAACTACTTGTCTTACCTTTCCCCCAGTCTCCATACTAAATGTAGCCACTATCTGGTTAACTACTCGTCTTACCTTTCCCCCAGTCTCCATACTAAATGTAGCCACTATCTGGTTATCTACTTGTCTTACCTTTCCCCCTAGTCTCCATACTGGAGGTGCCCACTGTCATCTGGTTAACTACTTGTCTTACCTTTCTCCAGTCTCAATACTAAAGATGCTCACTGTCTTCTGGTTAACTACTTGTCTTACCTTTTCCTCTAGTCTCCACACTGAAGGTACCTACTGTCATCTGGTTAACTACTTGTCTTACCTTTCCCCCAGTCTCCATACTAAAGGTGCCCACTGGCATCTGGTTAACTACTTGTCTTACCTTTCTCCAGTCTCAATACTAAAGATGCTCACTGTCTTCTGGTTAACTACTTGTCTTACCTTTTCCCCAGTCTCTTTACTGAAAGTACCCACTGTCATCTGGGTAACTATTTGTCTTACCTTTCTCCCAGTCTCCATACTAAAGGTGCCCACTGGCATCTGGTTAACTACTTGTCTTATCTTTCCCTCTAGTCTTCACACTGAAAGTACCCACTGCTATCTGGTTAACTACTTGTCTTACCTTTCCCTCTGGTCTCTTTACTAAAGGTACCCACTGTCATCTAGTTAACTACTTGTCTTACCTTTTCCTCTAGTCTCCATACTATAGGTGCCTGATGTTATCTGATTAACTACTTGTCTTAACTTTTCCCTTTCCAAAGTGGTGATATCATGAAAGACATTGTAATATTCTCACTGGAAAAGTGAGTACAGATATTTTATGATGGCATACCGTTACATAAAATAAATAACATGACTTGACAAAACATACAATTTTATGAACTCACGGAAGAAGGATCTCCTTGGCATTGTTAAACGTCTGCTTGCCCACCATGATGATAGCCAGTTGAATGCACAGCTCTATGAGACAACCTGCCGGGTCACACTGGGGAAGGAGGAATTCAAGTCAACATCTTAGATTCTTGTTCGCACCTTGAGCCTTGATGATTCTTAGCTACCAGAAGCATATTTGTACATACCAGTTGGAGCTCAGTGGGTGATGTGGTCAATATTCTACCAGCCACCTTTACTTCTAATGTAATTTCCTCTACCACGTTAAGTTTCATTCCAGCTTGTTAACTGTTGTCTGAATCAACATCATAGCACACTGGTCTGCAGCAGTCATTTCAGTGTCTCCAGTGGCAGTTGACTGGCATTTCTTCTTTCTTTGCCCTACAATCTGTTTCTTTTTTCATGCTTGTCCTCATTTAATATCCATTCCAACAGGTGGTTTATGGCCTTTGACTCCTTTTTCTCAAAGTTTCAGGAATGCAGCACATTTTGTATGTCTGCCATGTCAAAATTTCTGCCTGCACCAACCACTGCTGACAAGGTCGGTCTGTCACTCGATCCGTGTAGGTGGGATCAGTAAAACAATTAATTGTTGACTATAGGAGATTTTAACACATGACCCCGATAATCTAGTCAGTACTCTACTGCTTCTTCCATTGTGGTCAAGACCCTTTGAAAGCAAGTGAGGAATGTGGAAGTATGCATAGATAGATCACCATGGGCTGGAGAGAACAGCAGGCGGGTAGTGACCAGGCTGACACTCTACACTCAGAGGAAAGGCAAGATAGACATAGAATCCAACTTCTGCTAGTACCATCAGCACTGAACAGTATAACTTGCTGCTTGAGATGAGGACTGAGCACTTATAGAAATATCTCAAGTGCTGTTATATCAGTTCTTAACCTAATTCAGTTCTCTCATTGTGAGAATAGCAATCTGGAGCTAGATTCATGAATACCACATTGCATGCAACAAGCAATTTACTACTATGTAGTGACATGTCTTGTACACAGTATAGGCTACCATGTAACAAGTAGTTTACTACTATGTAATGACATTTCTTGTACACAACCTAGGCTACCATGTAATGAGCTGGAATGACAGGTTTCCTTCCTCATTTATTTCTTTGAAAACTCTTTCTTACCATATAAAAGACTTGAAAAAAACCCCAATCTGATCTAAAACAAATGCTGCATATAAAAAAATTGTGTTTGTAGGAAAAAGACAACACTAACATGTTTAAGGTATTTAATTATAAAAAAAAAATACACATGTGAAGAAAAATAATAAGTTTTTAATTAAAAAAAAAAAAAAAAAAAATATATATATATATATATATATATATATATATATATATATATATAAGTATCCCATATGCAACCTAAATATGTTAAAGCGGATTATACCTAAATCATGATTTCCTGCAATGAAACCTACCTACATTTAAGTGAGGTAAACTGTAAAACATATTCCCATGAATTCATACAATCATTACCTCTTCCTGCCTTCTCCCGATCGAGTGATTGTACTGACCAGGGCGGCCAATCAATCTGTTTGGAGAGAGTTTTTGTTAATCATATTTTCATACAAGGATCTCAGGTACCATAGATACAACAGTTTGGGTTCAGACCTTGCACAAGCAGAGTGATGGCAGTGACGAGCACTTGTGAATGTTTGATGTGTCAGCAGTGACGAGCACTTGTGAATGTTTGATGTGTCAGCAGTGACGAGCACTTGTGAATGTTTGATGTGTCAGCAGTGACGAGCACTTGTGAATGTTTGATGTGTCAGCAGTGACATGTACAGAGTTATAAATAGATTCTCACCAGCTGAGCAAAAGACAACTTTTTTTATGTCCCTCTGTGAAACCAGGGCAATGACTTGACCCTGACTGGCCTGCTAACACAAGCAAACACTTATTTCCCATAACAATATTTTTTGGAGGGATTTAGTCCCTTCCTCCTGCCCCACAACTTACATATGGAGTCCTGAAGGGATGGGAATCACCAGACCATAAGACAACTAATCAAATTGATCACCTATGTTTTAACAAAAAGTTTAGATCATCCCTTTACGATTTTAGTGCTTTCAAAGGTGCCGATGTATTTACTGACCATTTCCTGGTGGTAAGTAAAATCAAGTTGAAACTTAAAAGATATATAGCATCTTATAGTCATAAAAACCAATATAATGTAGGTTATCTCAGGGACAAAGAAGTTAAGGAACAGTTTTCAGTTACAGTCTCTAATAAGTACCAGGTGTTGCAGCAGTTAGCTGAAGATGTCAGCACAGAAGTCTGCTGGGATCAGATCAAAGGAATCTGGAATGAATCTTGCGTAGAAGTTCTTGGCAAGAAAGAACGGAAACATAAAGTATGGATAACACCAGAAACCATTAAAGTGACTGAAGAAAGTAAAAGTAAAAAGGCTGACTTAAACAATAGCAAAACTAGAGCTGCTAAAGTTAGAGCTCAGTATAAATACATAGAAGCCAATAAGGAAGTAAGGAGGCGTATAAGGGCAGATAAAGTGAAATATCTAACTGATCTAGCAGTGACGAGCACTTGTGAATGTTTGATGTGTCAGCAGTGACATGAACAGAGTTACAGATTATCACCAGCTGAGCAAAAGACAACGTTCTCTGCCTCTGTATGTAACCAATGCAAGGACTTGCCTCCTATTGGGCTGCCAACACAAGCAAACACTTATTCCCCATAAAAATATTTTTTGGAGGGATTCAGACCCCTTCCTCCTGCCCCATAACTTATTACATTTGGAGTTCCCAAGGGTGCTCTTATAATTGACAGACATAGGGGGCTGGGAACTTTGGGCACTCAGGCACCCCCCCCCCCCTCCCAACCCCTGATACATTTTAGCAAGCAAAGTTCCTCCCTTTCCCCCCAACATGTACAGACATTCCCTTTCTAAGCATTTGTTTATACATTTCATAATATTTCAAATATATTGTTACATTTATCGGTACTCCTGTCAAATCCGGACGAAGAATAAACAGCCTTGGACGACTTAGTCAGAGTTCTCTCCCGTGGCCGCACTCCAAACAGTGATCGGAAAAGCCACAATGAAACAAAGAAGACAGTCACGTCGACATCAGGGCTGCCAATGCTTGGTTGTTTCCCCCAGATGTGGGTTTTTTTTCGACGCTGCAGGACAATTCTGGGTGTTTTTTTTTGGGTGTGTTTTGTTTGTTGGTGTTTGCCGAATTGTATGCTTTAATGATCGATAAATTTGCGTGGTTAGGGGGTAGGGGTTAGGGTTAGGGAGTAGGATTAGGGTTAGCGGTAGGGTTAGGTTTAGCGTTAGATTTGACAATTTTGACGCCGGAGTTCCCTATAATCGCGCACAGTCCCATACACACACACAAACAATCGAGGGCCTATGGATGCTGGTCAAACGCACAATTCGCCAACGATTGGGGGCACCAGCCGCACGCTATTGGCGTCATATTTGGCAGAGTTTCAGTGGCGCCACTCCCACAAACATCATATTGTCGGCCAGTATTTCGAAATCCTACGTCAAAATTTTCACATCTAACCCTAACCCTACCCCTAACCCTACCCCTAACCCTAACCCTAACCCTACCCCTAACCCTAACCCTAACCCTACCCCTAACCCTACCCCTAACCCCAACCCTACCCCTAACCCTAACCCTACCCCTAACCCTACCCCTAACCCTACCCCTACCCCTAACCCTAACCCTACCCCTAACCCTAACCCTACCCCTAACTCTAATCCAACAACCGCATGATGATGACTACACAACCATATGCAACCGTACGCAGCCCTACACGCAACCGCAGGATGATAGCTAAGTGTGTCGTTTGTTTCGTTTGTTTTCCGATCACTGTTTGGAGTGCGGCCAAGGGAGAGAACTCTGACTAAGTCGTCCAAGGCTTTTTATTCTTCGTCCGGATTTGACAGGAGAGCCCATTTATCTGACATTAGGCACACAATAATAATAATATAATAATACCTATGGAGTCGCTGTGGCATAGGGGCTAGATGCTCGCCTGTGGATCAGAAGGTCGTGGGTTCACTCCCTGACGGAGCTGACTTTTTTCAAAAATGACCTTGGCTCCCAGGTAGACCCAACCTTGAGTGGCTACCAGGTAGACCCAACCTTGAGTGGCTACCAGGTAGACCCAACCTTGAGTGGCTACCAGGTAGACCCAACCTTAAGTGGCTACCAGGTAGACCCAACCTTGAGTGGCTCCCAGGTAGACCCAACCTTGAGTGGCTCCCAGGTAGACCCAACCTTGAGTGGCTACCAGGTAGACCCAACCTTGAGTGGCTACCAGGTAGACCCAACCTTGAGTGGCTACCAGGTAGACCCAACCTTGAGTACCAGGTGCAGTCCTGCTGACCACATCACCCATCTTGTGCCGATTGGTCTATAAAAAAATATAGGTCTAGCCCTATATGCCTTTTACGCCTAAAGGTGTGGAAAAGGGTCCCTAACTTTACTTAATAATAACTAGTTTTATCTCTGCACCATCAAGCAAGGCCCCTTGACCTACCAGGGCTGGATTAATACTCTTTGATACCCTAATCACTTCAAGATTTTTGGTGCCTGCTCCCCCCCCCCCCCCCTTTTTTTCCCCTAAGAACAGAACCGTCTTAACATCACTATGGGCTCCTGAGCAAACCAGTGTGCTAGGGCCCCTATAACGACCACTCACAGGAAAGAAATGTAAATGGGCAATTGACAGATTAGCATTGGATTCTTATGCTCATGGGTCCCCCTTGGTAAGTGCCCAGCAGGCCCCAGTGTTAGCATAGCACTGGTGCCTCCTTAAATATATTCAGCTCATTCAAAATATAAACAATCCTCAACTGTTCATTGACATTTTATTTATCAAAATGAAATAAAACAAAGTAAGACGTGAAATAATGTTTATTTTTGTATACTTCCATTTGATTTATATTTGAAAAGTCTTTTTTCTCCTACTTGAAGGTAACCTTTTTTGTTTTTAAATTGCCAAGTCTATTATCAGATCCTGCTTCTATATTTAACAGAGACAAGGCATCCAGTCTGCCTTGTTGCACTGTTGTTCTATTGGGATTGTTTAACATACTTCAACTGAGAAAATGAACGCTCAGCTCCAAGGGTACTGCAAATTTCAGTGGTGCCCCTTCCCTTTTGGATGCCCTAAGCCCATTCTCAATGTGCTTAATGGTTAATCTGACCCTGTCTAGACTCACCCCTAGAAAGCTATAAGGGAATGTAACACCCCAAAAGTTTTCCTCCTAGAGGTGCGCCTAAATGGTAGTTTGTCTCAGGCATGCAACCTCTCACTGTGCGACCTTCCTCTCCTACGTACTGTTTAGTGTCAAAGTCTGAGATCAGTAACAATATAAATATGCTCTTGATCTTTTTGTTCTTTATAATCAGTACTTATATGACAATCAGACAACATACGCCTTTTCTTATTTATCAAGACAATTACATATTGTTTATTTAAAAAAAAACCACTCACTTCCCTTTGAAGAAAGCAATGTAAAACAGGGATGAAAAATGGTTGACAAACTGGAAGAGAAACATCTTTAGGGTGAAACTGTCCTCCCATTCTGTTAGCGTGCGATGGGTTTCTGAAAAGACAATGTTGCACATGTCCATTACCTACTCAGGAAATGAGGTGTTTCTAGTTGTATTTTACTGATTTAATTTAAACTGTAATGATAGCACGATTATGTGCATGACTTGTATATTCATTTCTTCAGAGAGCACAAGCTGTTATATCATCTCCACAAGACTGAATGCCAGTGTGATGATAGTTTGCAGTTTTGCTATTGGTATTATCCACTATTCTTCATGATGTATGAAAGAAAGAGTTGTCCTTCCCACTTGTGATGGACTAACAACAACAACTGTCACATGTGTGTAGTCATTAAAGTGAGATCACTTGTGATGGACTAACAACAACAACTGTCTAATGTGTGTAGTCATTAAAGTGAGATCCCTTGTGATGGACTAACAACAACAACTGTCTAATGTGTGTAGTCATTAAAGTGAGATCACTTGTGATGGACTAACAACAACTGTCTAATGTGTGTAGTCATCAAAGTGAGATCACTTGTGATGGACTAACAACAACTGTCTAATGTGTGTAGTCATGAAAGTGAGATCACTTGTGATGGACTAACAACAATAACTGTTGAATGTGTGTAGTCATTAAAGTGAGATCACTTGTGATGGACTAACAACAATAACTGTTGAATGTGTGTAGTCATTAAAGTGAGATCACTTTTGATGGACTAACAACAACTGTCTAATGTGTGTAGTCATTAAAGTGAGATCACTTTTGATGGACTAACAACAATAACTGTCTAATGTGTGTAGTCATTAAAGTGAGATCACTTTTGATGGACTAACAACAATAACTGTCTAATGTGTGTAGTCATTAAAGTGAGATCACTTTTGATGGACTAACAACAACTGTTTAATGTGTGTAGTCATTAAAGTGAGATAACTTTTGATGGACTAACAACAATAACTGTCTAATGTGTGTAGTCATTAAAGTGAGATCACTTGTGATGGACTAACAACAACAACTGTCTAATGTGTGTAGTCATTAAAGTGAGATCACTTATGATGGACTAACAACAACTGTTGAATGTGTGTAGTCATTAAAGTGAGATCACTTGTGATGGACTAACAACAACAACTGTCTAATGTGTGTAGTCATTACAGTGAGATCATTTGTGATGGACTAACAACAACAACTGTCTAATGTGTGTAGTCATTACAGTGAGATCACTTGTGATGTACTAACAACAACTGTCTGTTTGTAGTCATTAAAGTGAGATCCCTTGTGATGGACTAACAACAACTGTCTAATGTGTGTAGTCATTACAGTGAGATCACTTGTGATGGACTAACAACAACTGTCTAATGTGTGTAGTCATTACAGTGTAGAATTACCAAGGCAAAAGCAGCCATTTTTTCCTTCAAAATATGACACATTTCAAGAAACAATTGTCAGTTGCCGAAAGAAAAAACACAAAAAAAGGTCTTACAGCCATAACTGCCTGTGGTGTTGTATGGATGTACGTGAAAATCTCTCTCTCTCTCTCTCTCTCTCTCTCTGTCTCCTTTTCTGGTAAACTCTCTCACATTCTCATTGTCCACATGTCTTGCTCTCTCTTTTTTTTGGGCAAACTGTCCTAAATATCCCACCTTTCTCTGATAAACCGTCTCCATTAAAACCTTTCTCTCTCTCTCTCTCTCTCTCTCTCTCTCTCTCTCTCTCTCTCTCTCTCTATATATATATATATATATATATATATATATATGTGTGTGTGTGTGTGTGTGTGTGTGTGCATGCCTGTGTGTGTGTGTGTGTGTGTGGGGTGTGTGTGTGTGTATACATAGATTTGGGCAAACTATCCCTCATATCCCGCCCTCTGACAAACAGTCTCCATTTTCTAAGACTTTCTCCAGTTACTTATTTTTTCAGGCACAGACCCATAACTTGGCAAGTCTTGTCCTACCCTGGGTAAAATTAAACATTGTAAACAAGTGGGAGAAGGTACAACAACTCACCAAAGTTTGTCAGAAACTCAGCGATGAACTGGTAGATTTTGCCGAGGATGATGATGATGAGCAGGTTGATGAGAGAGGCAGTAACAGATGTGATGATCCCGCCTTGGTCGCGGATTGTCTCTTGGCTCACTGAATACAGCACTGCAGAGACGGTCAGCCGGTAGATGATAACTCCAAAGACTGCCGCTATGACCACACACAACTGGCAGAGAGCAAATATGCCATCAAAAATTTATAAAACTGTCAACTCTGGAGGGATTTGTAAAAAAAAAGAGGCAAAGAAGAAAAAGATTCTTGACAGCCTTTTGTCATGACATTGACAAATGTTTGCAGATTCTTTACACCCTTTTGTCATGACACTGACAGATGTTGGCACAGGAACTGATGAAAGCTGCTGGAGATGACAGGTTGTTAAGAGGCATGATCTTCCATGCCAGTCAGCACTGCACTTGATGACAATGAAATAATGAAATGACACACTGTGTGTGATATTTAACTGACTGATCCAATGCACTCTCAGGCATGATCACAAGCACAGATTCGTGTGATGTTAGGTAACACATAGAAAGAAAGATGGATACATCAAAGAAAGATGATCTTTGTCTTCAATAGCAGATGGTAGACTTCAAGGGAGGTCATATGTAATTTACTCCCCTCCCCCACCCCCTCACCTTTAAAAAAAAAATTAATGACTCAATTAACAAACAGGATGGCAGGCCAATATCTAGAATAGACAGCTCCCCATGAGGACTCCTGGACCCCATGTGGACTCCTGGACCCCGTGTGGACTCCTGGACCCCGTGTGGACTCCTGGACCCCATGTGGACTCCTGGACCCCATGAGGACTCCTGGACCCCATGAGGACTCCTGGACCCCGTGTAGACTCCTGGACCCCATTGTGAGAAAAACTAGAACAGAGCCATTGCCTCCACACCATGTATGTTGTAGGAGTTGATTAAGGAGCTTCCTTCCTTTAAAGTCGGGATGCATCTGCCCGAGCAGCAAGAAATGAGTAACTGCACATAAATAAGCCAGTAAAATGGAGGTACATGCAAAACTCAAGCCCTGGCACAAAGTCAAAGTCCAAATGGTCGAACAATCAGGACTTTGCGCCAGAGCTTGCAGCTGGTGAACAAGGATGAAAGAAGATGAAGAACAACAACAAAGTCAAACACCGAATAGAAGGAAGCAAAGATAAACTTAAAAAAAACAATGGTACCTATATAAAGGTGTTTATGTTGTCAGTTAAAAAAAAAGTGCACTCATATTTTTACAGACTAATCAGCACTAGATGTGTAGTGTGGTCAGCATTACTGTGGTCATCTTTACTTCCCCAGGACATACATTCTGGTAGCCATTTTAGGCTGGGTCGACCTAGGATGCCCTATACCATGATAAAAAATCCACACAGCCAGCTGTGGTTTGTCTAGGTTGTAAAGAAACTAAATTATGTTTCCCTATCCAGCATTCTCACTCTGCAATTCCTTAAGTGTAGACAACAGATCAAATGGTTTCAACATGTTTCAAGACTACCACAAGATACTGCACCACTGCAAGCCCTGTCATTTAGAAATAGCTAGAGAAGTTGCCCATCGTGTCACATGTTTTTTCAAAACCTGATGCTTAAAGACACAATAGAATTAGAAATTAGAAATTAGAATGAAACATGAAGTAGCTTTTAAGTTTCCCATCTGATTCCTACTTTTCTTGTGCTCCCCTTTTATGTATATAATGCCCCATTGGATGCACATACACTACAACTTGAGAATCACTGTTGCTGAAAAGTTTTCAAAAAGAAATATTCACCTACCATAAACAAAATAATCCACAGTGAAGACACGGTGCGACACACACGCGAGGAAAAACTCAGGTACGGCTCTTCAATCTGTACAAGATAACAAACATGCAAGAAAAATATTAATTTTACGTTTTTGGTGTTGGAATGACATCAGTGCTAAAAACCTCATTTTGCCCTGGTACCGTTAATAAAGCCAGTTAAAAAAACTTTACACAATTTATTAGTATTATTATTTTTATTGCGTCTACGAAGAAATTAACATATCATATATTAAACTTTGACACAATAAGAGTTATTAAATGACAGTAAACAACTTTTTAAAAAAATTTATGAACAGCCATAAGGAAATAAAGACCAACTTAAACAATATATAGGAAAAAACACAAGAGATCCTTTCTCCCCACCCCTAAACACTTTGATGAAAAAACTGGCAGAAGTGAAGAAAAAGATGAAGAAGAAATCACATCTTATTTTTGCATCGAATCTCAGGGAGGGGATATAATAATAATAATAATAATGATTATTATAATAATGTTTAAAATGTATTCTACAAATCTACAAGTATGGAAGATATATAAAAACGATAGATGTCTCTCAATCATTATAACTCAACAATCAGTTATATATATCTACAAGCAATTAAAAAAAATGCATACAGCTATCTCTGTAATGATTCATCATTACAGAGATGCAAGGATTAACAATTTTAACAGGCTTTATAACCTTACAAAAGTATTTGCTGTATAGGTTTTATGATGGTCAAAAACTTTTACAGGCATACCTACTCTATTTACACTTCTGGAAACGTGGAATAGCAGTTAGATGCTCGCCTGCAGATCGGAAGGATGTGGGTTCGGGCCCTAATGGACTTTTTTCAAAACTGACCTTGGCTCCAAGGTCGATCCAGCCTTGAGTGGGTACCAGGTACAAGTCCTGGGAAGTAAAGGCAGCCAGCATGATGCTGACCACATCACCCACGCAAGTGCTGATTGGTCTTTAAAATATAAGTCTAGCCCTATATGCCCAATATGCCTGAAAGCATATTGATTGACTTTACCTAAGTAAAGATACTACAATAACTATTTCTGAAATGTTATATTATCCAATCATTACAATTCTACTTTGACAAACATTATAATTCTACACATGTTAAATCCTGCTTTCATGATTACTCTACAAATGTCATAATTCTACAATAATTAATATTCTACAAATGTCATAATTCTAGAATAATTACTTTTTTTCAAATGTTATCGTGCAATCATTACATCTCTACTAGCAGCCTTCCAATCAATTCTATATTCTAACTGTTATAGTCCTACAATCATTACTGTTCTGCAAATGTCACAGCCTTACAATCGTTACTCTTCAACAAAGTTTGTTAGTTAATTTATTAGTATACAGATCAGCCTCACTGAGCACTGAGTCACTGAGTCTACAAGGGTTCAGATCTCTCATCATCATCATCAAGTGCCTTGCCACCTGGCATGGGCGACCGTGTCTCTCCAAAATGTCTGCAATGTGCGACTGTGTGTATATCAGTTCGTGTGTTGACACCTCTCCTTGTCATGACAAAAGACTGTCAAGAATCTTCTTGCATTGTCTTCCTCTGTCTCTCTTTCCACAGATCTATCCAGTGGTCACAACATGTTCCAGTTTCCTTTTCCTAACATGACCACAAAATGATGACTGCCTCTTTCTGAAGTTTGTGATGTTGCATTGATAAGTCATCCTGTAGCGCCTAAAACCTCATATAAAAGTGCTACAGATATTCTTCTTCTAGGGTCAATCTTTACACTTCTTCACTGTCAAAGCCTACAGTAATTACAATTCTACAAGCACGGTAGTATTAAAAATGCTATTCTTTATAGTGTATATCTTTATTTCAGTAAAGTTTTATTATATACCAATAACAAGTGCCTTTCTACAATGTTAATATAATAAAATCATCACAGGTTCTACAAACGTAATATTTTTCCAATGATTATAGTTCTGCAAGCAATACAATATTTCAGTGACTACAGTTCTACAAGCAAGAGTATTTCCAATCAGCAGGAAAATTTATGCAGTGAACATCAAGAAGCGTTGCAAAAGGCTAATGTAAGTAATTAGCTGATAGTGCTGTACATATGTGCTGTTCTGTAGACTTACATAGACTAAATATCACAATTGATCTTACATACTCGTATACATTTTTGGGAGGTTCCTTTTATCTCTTATTTTATCGGTACTTGCAGTTCTCAATGATTGTCTTTCTCAAGCATGTATTCTATTACCATCTTCTCCTTGTGCTGGTTTTTTTTCAAAAGACTAGTCGAAACCAGTGATACAGTTCATTAAAGAGCAACAGATGAGATGGTTTGACAATCTGACATGAACGCACTGGCATCAACTACCACAGAGAGCCATCCTGAAGAAAAATAATTTACACAGAGCAAGGAGAGGAAGATGACTCACTAGATGGAACAACGGCATCAAGAACAGCCTTACAAATGAGGATAACAATGTAAATCATTAGAAGAAGCACAGATAAGATCCTCAGCCCCCCTCCCCACACTACACACACAAGTGCGCATGCACACACACACGCAAGCACACACACACATACACACACATACACACACACACTCATGAACATGTGCGCACAAACACAAGCACACACACACACTTGGATGAAGTACCTGGAGGAAGAGAACTGAAGGAAAGAGAAGCAGAAGAAGTTACAATTGATATTTCATCTTTCTTGTTCTTCAGTCAGCAATATTGTATATTAACATACTTCCAGCTTTCAGCCCATACAGTATCTAGAGCTGTGGTTTTTACCCTGTGGGTTACAACCCTTTTGGGGGTCACAACCCTTTTGGGGGTCAAACAACCCTTTCACAGGGGTCTCCTAAGACCTTAGGAAAACTCAAATTCACTGAAGTTATGGAGTAGCAATAAATATAATTTCATTGTTAGGGGTCACCCTCAACATGAGGAGCTGTATTAAAGGGTCTAGACTTTAGGAAGTTTGGGAACCACTGTTCTAGAGCCTTCTCTTCTGTATGGAATGTTTTTTTTATTAGTTATTTGACAAGTTATTTTTTTAAGTATTCTGCTATAATGCTAAAAGCTATAATGTGCTGACCATTGGTAATTATCACTTGTGATGGACGAACAACAACTGATCATCTTGCATGACATGGGGTGAAGCTTCACACATGAGAAGAATGGGAAATAGGGTTGGAAGAAAACACAAACAAATTTACACTTTAATCAGTCTTTTTCTATAAACAACATGGGGAAGTGGGATAAATAAAGAGCTACATATTTATGCACATAATGATGATAATTTCTCACACTTACAACCAGATGTATCATCCCCAACCTTCTCTCTTTTTTCTCCATTCTTCTCCCTTCTTCTAATCTCCAAAAGAGGTCATACTGCAACCATTTCAATCTGTCCAAGGTCTAAGGTGCACACAAGATGCCTCAGGGATATTCTATTTGCGGATGATGCAGCCATTACTGAACATACTGCAAAATTATCTGCAGATTCCCATGAATCTTTCTGCACATGAGTGCGAGGAATTTGGACTTATCATCAGTCTCAACCAAATGCAAGTGGTGGGTATGAATGTGGTAAACCCACCAAGCATAAGTGTTTACAACCATCAGCTGTTGGTTGTACCTGAGTTTGAATACCTAGGCTTTCGAATTGCAGACGATATAGAAATAAATAGTTGAATAGGAAAGGCTTCTGCTGTGATTTCCAAACTCACAACAAAAATGTGGTCAAACAAAAAGCTTACAGATATGAGCAAAATTAAAGTTTATGATGGCTGCATCCTGAGCAAGCTTCTTTATGGCAGTGAAACCTGGACTGTGTATGCTCCTTAAAAATAAAAATAAAAAATAGCTTCCACGTGCGATGTATGAGACACATTCTTGGTATATCATGGTGAAACTTGGTCCCAGTGAATGTGTACTCAAAAGAGCAGGACTGGCAAAAATGTACTTTCTACGGAAGCAAAGATGCCGGTGCTGGTTAGTTCTCTGGCATGGAGGATAGTCGCATTTCTCTCTCTTCCTGTTTTCTTCTCTAGTTCAAATAAATGTGATTGACTGACTGACTTTCTACCCAACCAGGACATCACACAAGCGATAAACACCTGATGTTACAATGTGCCACCATGTTGGTGAGGATCACAGTGGTGAGGAGGTCCCAGAAACCGCGTTCAGCCTTTAGGCCATATTTATGGCCAGGCTATATTTCCGCCCCTGGCAAAGCCAGAGTAGGGCTTCAAATAACGAAATATTTCATCCTAAAAAGGAGGGAAAGTACTTATAAAGGTGATTAAATACAATTGAGTTGAGTCCCTTGATTGCTGAAGAAACTGTTGTGTTAACCATTCCGCCACACAGCCCTAATGCAGTCATAAATGTGTATTATTAGGAAACTAAAGTTAAATGATCAAGAGCGAAGAAGGCATAAGCAGATGAGAGTTCTCTAGCAAATCCAAAAGATGGATGGAAACAATCTCCCTCCCACCCAGCGAGGTTGAGATCAAGCAGAGAGGAAAATAATTTCATATCAAACAACTCCCTCACAGGTCCTCTCTGAAACAACACAATGTCACAGTGATTAGTACAAGCTTATTTTTTCCTTTCTTTTTTTCTTCCGAATACACAGAAGCATAAAGCTTAAATCAAAGAGTAACATTTCAATGTTAACAAATGTTAGTAATGTTATAACACTGCTGCAAATATAAAGTTTACATGCAAAAATAATTCACAAAGAAACTAAGAATAATTATCAAGTATCTAATGGTAGTTGGTATGAATTAACATAGGCTACATTCGGCAAACATTTATTAATTTCAACAAAGAAAGTGATAATCACTGTCTGATAGTTAACATGCTAAATTCAGAACTTAAATCATTGCAGTCATTGTAATAGACAATACTCATAAATACAATAACTGGGTAACATTTAAAAGGAAATAATATTACAATTTTGATTTACATTTTGAGAAAACGCAAACAAACATCTAATAGAAATAAAATAAAAATAAAGCTAAATAAACATATTAGAATTAAATTATTAACGCATGAGAAAAAAAATATTATTGAGAAAATAATTAAAATGTCAACCCATTCGAGAGATTAAAACATCATACATCAGATTAAAAAAAAATACACAAGCAACTATATTAGGAAATTCCCCTAGTATACAGGCTTGTGTTGTTAGCCTTTATACTGATGTTACTGTGGTCATAGTGCTGTTTATATACAGTGTGGCCATTAAATAATGAGATAGGGACAGTTCACCCATGATTTGACCAAACTGCAACACCGCCTGGTCAACAAATAACCTGCTATTTCGTTCAACTAGTGAGAGCTGCCATGTTACATATGCAGTATGTAGCCAAGTGCAAACATTAAATCATGTTTTAAACTCGGAAAAAGGTTGCTATTAAGACATAAGTGTACTGACATAAACACCTATTTGGATATAAAATATGGGGTTGTCATAGTAATTTTCACATAACAATTTCCTGTTTAACCCTCAAGTTATAATTGAAAAAAAAAAAATTATCATTGAGTTTACAGAGTACATTTTTGCTATTTTTTTTATACTGTATAATTGTTGATTTCAGACATTTTTTGAAAATTGTAGTAACTGAGATATTGCTATGTTACTTTTTTGGGTTGTGATTACAACAGTTACTGCACCATAAGTATTTAGATAATCTTAATAATACTGTGTTTTAAAATAGGGAATTTATTTTATCCTTTGCGTAGTCATACATTAACCTCATTTATTGTAGATTTTTTAGTAAATATCATCAAAGAATATACTGGCAATTACCCTAACCATTCTAAATATGGCTTTTCATCCTAAATAATCTTGCCAGGCAGATCTTCAGAATTGTCTATTTACTTAAACAGTAAATCACTTCAAATAATACACACTACAGATATGCCAGGTGGTAATTAAATCTTTGGGGGACATTAAGGTATTTTATGAATTTAAGTTTGATGGATAAAATAGCAAAATTAGACCTAATAATTTTTGTTGTTCTCCAAGGTTTAGTTTACCACAGATCAAATTTTGAGAGGCTTAAATTTACCACAGATCAAGAAAGAAAAACTGTCAAACCACGTGAATGAATAACAAAATAAAATAACACACAGTAAAGCCATGCAGTCAAGGCTTGATCATGGACATTCTCTTGTAGTATTTGAAAAACACAACATCCAAATGAAATGGTGACATGTAACATTTCAAATGACATACCAAGCGTCATTTGGTTTTTGCTTTCATTAGCACATGCTCTTCCTACCTGATCTAAGTCCGCCCTTTTCATAATCTGTTTGTGTATTTGTGTGTAGGGTTTGTTCTCATGGCTACTATTCTGAGGGTAGGGGAGTTTGTGGGGATCAGAAAAGATATTTTTTTATTGTCAAGTTAAAAACAGTAATAATATTCATACCGCCTATAACAGCATTGCCTGCTTCATTTCTTTCTCTTTTAAAGACACGAAGAGTGGTCCATATGCTTTATATAATTCTGTCATTAATTATTATTTTGTTTCATTTGTGAACATAATATATTAATACCGTAATATAGCCATTTCAGAAAGTTCATTTGTGTCTGTGTGCTGTGTTTTGCTTCTCATCATTATTCTGCTGATCACTTTGTTTGTTTATTTTAATTGATTCTGATAGACACTTTATGTTTTTTCCAGGTTTTTATATACTTTGTACAGTAGATGCTAGTTTGCTTGGCTCCAAGGTTAATAAAGTCTGTGAACTGTTGAACAGATTTTACTTTTGACTCTGATCATGGATCTGAAAAGTTTTTCTTGTTTGACATGTAAAAGAAAGAGAATAGGAAGGCAAAAACAAATAAACAAACATGAGGACAAACGCATTAACAAAAATAAAATGACAGCGATATAAGTAAAAAATAAATCCGTTAATCCGTTTCAACTGGCAAAGCTACCTGTTGAGGTAATCTATAGGTTCTCATTCACTTTTCAAGGGGAATTGTTAAAACTGACCTCAAGAGGAGCGGGTGAGGAGTTTCATTGGTGCTTACGCATTCTTGCATGGGGATTAGTGAAGTTGCTCCTGGCTACCAGGTCAGTCAAATGTAAAAGTTGTACCAGAAAATGTGATAGGTAAAGACAGCCGGAGCGATGCATACGATACCACCCGTTTAGTGCTAAGTGGTCTACATAATACAACATAAAATAAAAATCACACAAATATCACATACTTAGTACAGCTTGGGGCCAGGGAAACTGGAACCTATGAGCTCGAACCCACCACCCCCAGGTAGAAAACACATTTGCTTAAAGGGCAACAAGGTCCTGCAAGACCCTCACAAATATGACAACACAACTGTGGTATCCCTTTAAATGACAAAAAAACGTAAATACTCCTGCAAGACCCTCACAAATATGACAGTAATAGCCACGGTATTCTTTTATATGAAAAAATTGATGAAAATAATTGTAACCAATAAAAAAAATTAAATTAGACAATAGATGATAAACCACTCTTAAGAACCAATCAAAACTGTTTATTTTATCCCTTATAAAGTACCGTTATAAAAAAAAAAAATTCAGTAAAATGTACCGGATCTGCGCTTCTTGGGTTTATAAATACTTCGCTATCCTTAAATGGAAGACAGCATATGAAAAGATGAGGCCAAAAAATATTATATGTTCAACAATAAGCGGTTTCTATTTGTCTTATATTGGTTTATCTTGGCATGGAAGTCAGAATACTGGTGTCAAGTCCACCCACCATGAATATATACTTTTCTTTTTGTTTTCACAAAGGACTTAGTCTTTGCTTGTAATTTATTCCCTCTGGGCTGCGACCTGAGAGCTATGACACCGTGAGACTAAAGAATCTCAGTGGTGATGGCAGACCAACAGGATCTGAAGGTTTGACACTGAGAGACTAAGAATCTCAGTGCTGATGGCAGACCAACAGGATCTGAAGGTTTGACACTGAGAGACTAAGAATCTCAGTGCTGATGGCAGACCAACAGAATCTGAAGGTTTGACACCATGAGACTAAAGAATCTCAGTGCTGATGGCAGACCAACAGGATCCGAAGGTTTGACACTGAGAGACTAAGAATCTCAGTGCTGATGGCAGACCAACAGGATTTGAAGGTTTGACAATGTGAGACTAAAGAATATCAGTGTTGATGGCAGACCAACAGGATCTGAAGGTTTGACACGATGAGACCAAAGAATTTCAGTGCTGATGGCAGAACAATAAGATTTGAAGGTTTGACCCTGAGAGACTAAGAATCTCAGTGCTGATGGCAGACCAACAGGATTTGAATGTTTGACACCGTAAGACTAAAGAATTTCAGTGTTAATGGCAGACCAACAGGATTTGAAGGTTTGACATTGAGAGACTAAGAATCTCAGTGCTGATGGCAGACCAAGAGGATTTGAAGGTTTGACACTGAGGGACTAAGAATCTCAGTGCTGATGGCAGACTAAGAGGATTTGAAGGTTTGACAATGTGAGACTAAAGAATATCAGTGCTGATGGGAGACCAATAGGATCTGAAGGTTTGACACTGAGAGACTAAGAATCTCAGTGCTGATGGCAGACCAACAGGATTTGAAGGTTTGACACTGAGAGACTAAGAATCTCAGTGCTGATGGCAGACCAAGAGGATTTGAAGGTTTGACACTGAGGGACTAAGAATCTCAGTGCTGATGGCAGACTAAGAGGATTTGAAGGTTTGACAATGTGAGACTAAAGAATATCAGTGTTGATGGCAGACCAACAGGATCTGAAGGTTTGACACGATGAGACCAAAGAATTTCAGTGCTGATGGCAGAACAATAAGATTTGAAGGTTTGACCCTGAGAGACTAAGAATCTCAGTGCTGATGGCAGACCAACAGGATTTGAATGTTTGACACCGTAAGACTAAAGAATTTCAGTGTTAATGGCAGACCAACAGGATTTGAAGGTTTGACATTGAGAGACTAAGAATCTCAGTGCTGATGGCAGACCAAGAGGATTTGAAGGTTTGACACTGAGGGACTAAGAATCTCAGTGCTGATGGCAGACTAAGAGGATTTGAAGGTTTGACAATGTGAGACTAAAGAATATCAGTGCTGATGGCAGACTAAGAGGATTTGAAGGTTTGACAATGTGAGACTAAAGAATATCAGTGCTGATGGGAGACCAATAGGATCTGAAGGTTTGACACTGAGAGACTAAGAATATCAGTGCTGATGGCAGACCAACAGGATTTGAAGGTTTGACACCATGATAAGACTAAAGAATCTCAGTGCTGATGGCAGACCAAGAGTTATCTTACATGATGCAGGGGTGGTAAAACATTTAGGTAGCAGCTAGAAGTGGACAAAAAGAAAATACATAATATATCCTGTGTTTTCATTGTCCAATGACCTTTTCTTGGGAGTTTTATGTAACGGCTTTCCTTTGTGTTATCACAGAAAAGACAGCTATATCATCAAACGTCAATGGTGTATAAGCTATCGCTTAGACATATGCTTGCCTGTCAACCTGCAGTCATGAGTTCAAATCCCCAACGCTGGGAATTTTTAATACAGCCTCGAATACTTGACAAATCAAGCTTAAAATAGTTACTTGAAAATGTTATGGAAAGTAAAAGCGAGAGAAAGAATCCCATTATCTACTGACTGCCGATTTGTCTGTAGAAATATAGCATTATAGACTAAGTTTATCTCAAGGCAAGGAACTGGGTCTTTCACTTTAAATTTTCTGTCATTTTGTGAGCGATCACTTGTATCTAAAGGACAAAAGTAAGATTCATGCAAACCCCAGGTACCTTTCAATATCACCAGCTTTTAATCTGGCTTACTCAGTTACCAACAGGCAGATTATGAATACCTGAATAGTGGCCAATCATCATCAATCAGGTTCTTCACACAACACCATGCTCGTCACTGCAAGCCTGAAATTCTTGTTATCTCTAGCCAGTTCTCTAGCCCTATGTGCTTTAATAGCCACTGCATCTTCAGTCTTCAAACAGTGGCTAGTAAGGGGAAATTTTATGCAGTGCAGACCTGATAAGAACTCACCAGAGAACCAAGAAATAGTTTTTCTAATAAAAAAAATGCCTCTTATTCAGATAAGAATTCAAGCAACAACAAAAAAATTGCAGGGGATAAACAAATTGTTCTTCACAACAGAAATTCACCTCATTCGAGATAACCTTAGGCGATCTGCACTATATTCTTAAAGTGAGCTGTATGTTTTAATTTATCCATCTCTGCTTAATTAACTTATCTGAGCAGCAACCTGGCAAGTCAGTGGGAACATTTTCAAACTACTTTCTCCTGGTCATCAGTAGTGAACTCGATATGTTCTGCCCTACTTGTTTCTTTGTAATAGATCTGATCAAACAAAATCAGTGCATGCAAATGGACATGGTCTTTATAAAAGAGGATGTTAAAATATTACAAAAATAATTATTTACACATTTAAAAAAAAAATACATGCACATGTATTAACAAATATAGACTACAAAATAGCTGACAGTCTAACAAACATAAACCCTGAAACTAAACAACAATCAACACTTATTAAACAAACATAAATATATAAAAGTAGATGTACATAAATATATATAAGTAGATGTATATAAATATATATAAGTAGATGTACATTCATAAACAAATAATGACATTACATAAACAGGCAAATATGTTGATGAACTTTGAACAGAACACATACAGCTAGTTCTGGTCATCTCAGTACAGACATGCAACAGAGGACACAGCAACAAGTAACATAAATAGTGGCAAGGCAATGAGCTGCAACTTGCAAGAAGAACTGGTATTGTTTTCTCAGACTAGGGACTGTCCTAGCTGTGATACCTTGAAACAAAGCTTCAGCGCAACTAGGCCATGGTTTTAACATTAAACAGCTTTATCTTGAGTGTGCAAAACAGTCAACCTGGCAAAGTGAACGTGAACACTTTTACACTGTTGTCTACTGGATATCGGCTCTGCTCTGACATTTACTACCACAATTTAAGTGCATTACAATATTTTATATTTCTATTACAAAATGTTACATTACTATTTCAAACAAAATTGTGTGAACACTACCGTTTACCTAAACAGATGAATAGGTAATTTCTAAACTAAATTGCTACATTGAAGAAAGTATTAAAAGATGTGTACATAACTGACCTTGCTAACAGGATTAATTCTTCTACTTCGGACTGAAGCTTCATACTCTGGTCTGATTGTTTCCTTATAGATGTAACATAAAAATGAAGCAATTAGTTTCAGAAAAATGCAAACATGGGATAAATGGAGAACAACAAACAGCAATTTCTTCTGCCTGCAAGTTTGTTCACACCCAAAAATTCATTGCAATACATCACATAACAGATTCTACATAATATTTCTGCAACGTCATCAGATAGAGAAGGTTTAACAAATAATTATAAAACCCAAAGACTTCAGCTGTTAGTCAATCAATGAAATGTCCTCTCCACATTAGAAGTCTGTAAATGAGTCTCCAAAATCCTCTGCTCGGCAACGTCATGACCTATTCTGTATGAGAATGACAAGGGAGCTGATAACACAAGAGAAATAAGCCAAATGACTTATTTGCCCCCAATTTAAAAAAAAATACAGCAGTTATTAAAACAACAACAACAACAACTTTGAAATGATAACTGTTCTCAAGAGCAAAGTGTGCAGAGCAAGCTATGGAGAACATTGAAGGATTTGCTACTGACATGCAAGTTCATAGAGGCAACTTAACTGATGGTCTGATCTGAGCAAACGAAACCAAACACAAAGAAGAAGAGGAAGAAGAAAAATAAGATTTAAAAAAAAAGTATACTGGAAGGAATAGTTTATGTTTAAGTCAAACGAGGAACACATAGTTAGAGAGCAATAGAAGTGGAAGTATAATATCAAGACAGTAGATGACTGCAACCTGAGAGTGTGTGCAGCTGGGATAAGAGAGACAGACAGGGTGTCTTGAGAAAGAGAGAGAGAGTATCATCACCAGGATGAGACAGAGAGTTGTGGAAACAGAATGTTGGAGATATATTGAAAGCAACCATTATTGTGGAGAGGACACCTGATTGACTGATAACGCCTAATTGCTGACACATCACCACATAAAGTATTCTGCATTCAAAACACACACTGAAAATGTCCTTGTACACAGTCAATAAACTAGTAAAGTAGCCAAGAACAGCAGAAAGATGTCAACCTCTTCTTCAAAGTCTTCGACGTCCCAGTCGTACTTGATCTCTGCTTCTCGTCTTTTCCACATCTCAATGAAAAATGTTGCTGAAATGTAAACAAAACAAATCTTAAGTACACTGGATATATTCAGTGAGCACAGAGAAATGAAAGTACAGTCTAAGCAGGCTCTGCTAGGCAGAGAGGTCCTGTACTGGAGAGGCTGATTTTTTATTTTGATGTCATCATGCTCCAGGAGCTAACTACAGACAGATATCATTGCCCTGGGTACGTCAGTTATATAAACCCTGTTGGACGGGAGAGATATGCGTCTGGTGGTAAAGGATGGAGTGAAGCATGTGTTGCTTAACTTGAGCTAGTGGAACCAGTGAAAGAGAGGTTAAAGGAATACAGGTGGAGATTGGTGGTTTAAGTTGGAACCTCATAAATTTATATATGCCATGGTAGACTGTTTTGTCAGAAGGGAACAATGGGGCTAGCTCAAGGAATTGGAGGAGTTACAAGGTGATAGGTTATTTATATATAGGGATTTCAATGCGAGGAACAGAGAATGGGACAGCAGTGGAGAAAACTGACAGGGAATTGCTCTTGCAGAGGCAATCGCTGACTCCGATATGGTCTGCATCAATGATGGGAGGCCGACTAGGATGGCAATGAGGTCTGGCGATGCAAACACAGCCATTGACTTGACATTTGTCTCCCAGTCGTCGGTTTTAGATGTTTAATAGACTGTCCTGAATTACCATGGGAGTCATCACCTCCCATGTTCAGTAATGATTTCTTAACCCAGTAAGGTTAAGGCTGGGAGAGCATGCAAGACCTTTCGGTATTTGAGGGATATCCACTCTAACATAGGCTAGCTGTTTGCCATGTCATCAAAGATGTTAATTTGCACAGAACAAAACATCTCCACAGTTAGAATTTGGAAAAACCAGACCATTTTATATCTGCAGAGATTATATTTCAGGAGCCGCCATGGTGTAGTGACTAGACCCTCACGTGTCAATAGGGAAAGTCATGGGTTCAGGTCCAGACACAGCCAGACTTATTCAAAAAAATGACCTTGGCTGCCAGGAAGACCCTGTCTTAAATGGCTACCAGTAAAGTCCTGGGCAGTTAAGGCGGCCAGCGTGATACTGACAACATCACCTACCAAGTGCCAACTCTTCTATAAAATATAGGTCTAGCTCTATATGCCCAATAAGCCTGAAAGCATAGAAAATATAAGCCAGCCAGATTGATCTTCTTTTTGTTAACGGAAACCTATGACAACGGGTGTATTAAATTCTTAGCGTGGTCCAGAAAATGGTGACATGACAGTGCTAGAATAAATGTCAATTTATGTACACTAGACAATAAAACACCTCTTGAAAAATAAGCCTCAAGGATTAACACAGATTCACGTAAGTACTTAACTGATATTAATATAATATTATTATATAATGATTAATATGATTATAAATATTAATAATCAGGTTTTTTTTTGCTGCTGGTCAAGTAAGTGGATGACCCTTTTCTTCTCATAGTATGTTATTGTATTTTTATGTTTTCCACCCCAGATGGAGAGTGACTTTCCTTCCCATTCATGCCTCATCGTGTTGCAGCACCTGTCCATTGTTGCGGAGGTTGTCACGCTTAGTGAGCAGCTGGCAACACTTTGTATTTTACTAATTTTTGTCAGCGGCCGGCGATATCATGTGTCCTATATTTCACGACATGAACATAAAAGGGAACTCATAAAAATGGTCAGGTTTATTACAAGAACATGTCTGTTCGAGTGAATCATAAAGCAAACACACGAAGAAGAAGAAGAAGACACTTTGTGATGAGTATTAACACTTTTCTTTTTTTAAAGAACAATCATACTTACACCACAGCGCCATGAATGCTGCAAAGGCTACTGTAGCCTCATTGTCAAACAGGTAGGACACCCTGGAATAGATACAAGACCTGCCCAGCTTCCACCAGGAACAGCGCTGATCACACAGAGGGCACATGGTGAAGTTTCCGGGCCCCGAATTATCGCAGATCTCATTGCTGCAACAGGGAAAGACTCTGTGAGCCTCAACATGCTCAACTTTCTGAAGTAATTAATAAGGATCTGTTCAGCACCAGTGGCGTAACATGGTACTGCACCCATACCTTTATGTACCTTTCCTCATTCAATAGGTGGTGTGTTTATTTTCCAGGATCCATTCCTGCTATGGAAGCCTTCATTGTGTAGTGGCTAGATGCTCATCTATGGATGGGAAGGTCATGGAGTCAGGTCCTAACAGAGCAGCACTTTTTAAAAACATGAGCTTGGGTCCCCGGTCAACCCAGCCTCAAATTGGTACCAGTACAATACTGGGAAGTGAAGGTGCTGACATGATGTTGGCAACAGCACCCAGTGTGTGCCACTGGTCTATAAAATTTAGGTCTAGCCCTATCTGTCTCATATGCCTGAAAGTGTGGAGAAGGTTCTGTATTTTTTTCACCTCTATAATTCCTGCCACCTGTGTTACCCATCTGTGGCTTAGGCATAGGGAATTCTGAGGTAACCGGTTCAATTCCAGCTGTGGGCTGTTTGACAAAAGACAGCGTCACATTGATTTCAATAGGCGTATCGAGAGCTGACCTTTCAAAAAGCACTTGCAAACTACTGAAGGTAAAGGTGCCAAATATAATTCAAAACAGGCAATAAATACTGAGGTTAATTCCAGGCATGCTGCCATGAAAAAAAGGGGGCGGGGGAGGGGGGGGGGGCAACCTGAGACTCCAGGTCCCAGCACCTGTGAACAACTTTCTACATTTCCTGCCATCATCTCAGACGCCCAACAAATTGTATTCACTCATAACAACATACACTATATCACCAAGTACTGGCACTGTTGTTCTAGGCTAGGATAAACACAGACAGGACAGAATAATTGACATAGGCTGTTTATTCTTTTTTGTTCGTGGTTGATCTAAGAACTGACATCACAGCACTCAGAACATTCACATAAGTGCTCCATTGTTCTGTCTGAAGTTTGGCCAAGTCAGTGGATTGGTAATTAAAGTGAGCCAGCTTCAATAAAAGGGCTTATGCTTATTAAAGAAGAGCACCCATCCTCCTCCCCCCCCCCCTCCTCCCATCCAGTCATGTGAAGATTGAGCAAAAAACACACCAATATTGACTAGGCAAATAAGACATCATAAGGGTTACATATGGTTGTTAGGTGACTGAATCTAGGGAATTCGCAGTCAAGAAGTCAAAAGAGGCAAACATTTATATCCTAGTGTGGCTCATCCTAAGGGAAGATTTACCCCGGGATCCCACAGAGAAATCAGCTGGCATGCTGGATGCGTATCTACCTATCTGCATTATGCAAGATTATTACATACTGATGCTATCGCTCAGAGTGACTGCTGGATAATTTTGAAGTAATGATGTAATCGGGTTTATCAGTATTTGGCTGCATACTGACTTGTTGGAGAAACCGTTAATGTTTCAAGGTTGAGCTGCTGACTTATAGTAACTGGTGGCTAATGTTATATGTGAATCGCAAGTTGACAATTCATTCATGAGAGTTTGCGGATGCTAGTGAGTTAGGTTTATTGTTTGGGTGAGTCGTTTGGCCACCTGTCAGTGGCATCCGGTTTCAGGTTGGGTTCGAGGCCCTCAGCACCATTTACTGCAGAAATCATACTTTAAGAGTTTATACCTCCTAGACTTGGTTGTTGCATTGTCTTCTTCTTCTTCTGGACACTCTGGTGGTAAGTTCTGGTTGTTCGTCCACTTCTGAACTGCAGTCTTGCTGGAGAACCTGAGTTTTGCGTGTGCATCAGTTTTACAGATATGATTCACTTGAGTGCAGACTGTTGGTTCCTTGCCTCCCAGGCAGATGCATTCCGACTTCAAAGAAAGCTCTCCAATTAGTCGACTCTTTTGACATGTTTTTAAGTAGGAAGTGGGTCTATTCTTGTTTTCCTTACAATGGGGCCCCGGAACACACACAGGGAAGTTGCATAGTTATATTGATATTCAAGTTACTTTAACATGTTGCCTTTCAATTATGTAGTTGTACGCTTCGTCATTTCAGTTGCACTCACACACTTGACCTAGGTCACAATGAGTGCTGACTATCCAGTCTTAGTCTTTATCTAACCATTACATCAGCGTCAGTATGCCACAAACCCCACTCCCCCCCTCATCCACCAAATATTGGGGGGGGGGGGCGGTTTAAGGGACTGGAGCCCTCAGGTTCTGGCATTGATGGTTAGTTCTGCAATATCCTGTAAAGGGAAAGTACCAGTGTTTATGAGTTGCTATTCTATACTGACCTGGGAGGCAGGGACAATTATAACAACATCTGTCTGGAAGAGAATACTATAACGGTCTTAATTCTAGAGAATCCCCAGCATATTCTCAAATCTTCTTCTTTTGCCTTTCTATCCCCCAATGGAGCATAGGCCCTCAACCAACTCACGCCAAGTCATTCTATCCTTCGCCATTGCATGGAGCTCTCCCCATGTCCTCCCCATCTTTCTAACTTCATTCTCCAGCTCTCTTCCTTATGGCTTTCTCCACACCGTGTCATACTTCTTCTATTTGAAGAGCCGACCCTCATCTTGGTTGGCTGGGATTTACTTGCTTCTCTTTTTGACTTATCCATGGTTGGTTGGGTCTTTCACCATGAGAAGGCTAAATCTAGTCACTCCCGGTTGTGACATAGTCCTGTAAATGACGATAATATAGCCATGTCTGTGGCGACCTGTTCTCTCAACAAGCACTGCTAAATCTACTGGTTCTCTGTGTGCCTGTCTAGTGTTTACAAGGCTAAGATATGAATATAAAAGCTGGATATGGCACTTAATGAAGTTTCCCTATGACTCCCATGGTCTTTTAAAGTCAGCTTGAATAAAAATGTGTACAGAATGCATCCACACTCACAAAAAAACAACTACATTTTCACAGAAGCAGACATCCACAGTCACTTAAAACTAGCGGACACACAAAGACAACCATAGACATAGACACTGACGCACACCACACAAACACACAAATATACACGCAAGGCACATGCACATACACCCACAAGGATGGAATAATGACTGTGTTTTGAGAATTAAGTTAAAGATCAAATTAAGAAACATAAGTACAATACCTGGCTGTATGAAAACGCATACGCGCACAACCATATATAAACACTGCAAGGCCAACCAGTCCAGCAGGGATGAGGAGCCCAGTGTAGTGCCCCAGCCAGGCAAAGTAGATTGCAATCTTTTCTCCAAAGTATAATCTGGAACACAACAAAATTAGCACTCCAGTGAAAGGAAACTATAATGTTTTCAAATTCTTAGTGTAGTCATTGATGATACAATTGTACGTGAATACATGTACAAATTGTTAAAATAATCCTCACCCTCTTCTTTTCCCTCGTATCCACCTTACTCTCCTCTGTCTTCTTCTTCTCCTTCTCCTCCTGTTTCTTTTCTTCTTCCGCTTTCTCCTTTTTCCCCTTCCTTTTCTTCTTCTCCTCCCCTTCTTTCCTCCTACTTCCTTCTCCACATCTCCCACCTCCACTACCTTCTCCTTGATATTACCTGATATGATCCAAAGGTTGAAACTTATACCAGGCTTTAGGCCGGGCCCAGGTTTCATACAGCAGCTGTGGAAGAGACAAACAGGTCACACCCATCAGTAAGCAGCTCTTCTTGAATAAGAAATAAATTGACTGTAGAAGGAAACGGCATAAAATGAGGAACAAGAAGTTCTCTTGAGATCCTGGGGAGAAACAACGAGAGTAAACACAAGCACATATTTCTTAGTATCCCAGTTTGATTGAAAGGTCAGACAAGGTAAACCTCAGGTCACATTTATGAATAAATATTAGAAAAATGAATAAAACTGTATAAAACTTACTTTACAACAAGACAAAGAAAAGCGATAATATGGGTGTCAGACGTTTTGGTCAAGAGAACTATTGTCAGGGTTAGCAAAAAAGTGATAAATAAATTGTGATTAATATATGCAGTATATAAATTATTGGCTCGGAAAATTTAATTTTTAAATAGGAGGAGAAGATGGTAAAGGGAGAGGCAGAGAATAAAACAAAAAAGAATTAGTATTGTAGTATTTAAACAAGAAATAGGAATAGTAGTTTCAGTAGCAGCAGCAGCAGCAGTAATAGTCATAGTAGTAGTAGCAGTAGCTGCAGCAGCAACAGCATCAGTAATAGTCGTAGTAATAGTAGCTACAGCAGCAACAGCATCAGTAATAGTCATAGTAGTAGTAGTAGTAGTAGCTGTTGAAGCAGCAGCATCAGTAATAATCATAGTAGTAGTAGCTGTAGAAGCAACATTGGTATTAGTAGCAAAACCATTTATACAGGAATAACAGCCTTTTTTAGCAGCAACAGCAGCAGAATCAGTAGCTAGTAGCAGTAGTAGTAGTAGTATTATTATTAGAAGAAGATGTAGCCGTCGGTGGTGGTGGATGTGATTGCAGTAGTAGTACTATTATTATTATTAGAAGAAGATATTGTAGTAGTGGTGGTGGTAGCAGTAAATGTAAAAGGTTAAATGATAAAACTCACATGTCGTTGGTTCCTGGCGGCTCGTGTCAGTAATGAATGCTCACTGGTGTACTCACCCTACAGAAATATTTTACTGATCATGAACACGTCTAAACATGGAGAACAAATAAAACAGTTACTAATAAACTACAAAGATTGATTAACTGGTGCCAGCACAGAATAGAAGGAATTAAATAGTAGGTTAGAATCACTTAGGTAGAGCTTTGGGAGAGAACTTAACAAGTTCCAGTCATCCAAGTGGTGAAGAAAGATTCTGGCGTCAGATAGGACACACTTTAAGAAAACCTGAGAACAATATAACTAGAATATCTGTGCACTGGAACCCACATAGGCATAGTAAACAAAACAAAAATAAAGATAAAACATCTAAAAAGGAGCTAGAGAGTGAAGTTAAAAAGATGGGGAGGATATGAGGAGGGCTGCATGCAATGCTGAAGGATAGAATGACTTGGCATGAGTTTGTTGAGGCCCTATGCTCCACTGGCGGTTAGAAGGCAGAAAAAGAATATGTTCACATCTGGTAACTGTGTTTACTATATCTATCTCCCCTTCCTCCTACTCCTAGTCTTCCTTCTCCCCTGTCTCCTCCTCATCAACATCCTCACTATGACCATGTGACAGATCCTCTGTAGACTGTGAGGTCCCTGTAGACTGTGAGGTCCCTGTAGACTGTGAGGTCCCTGTAGACTGTGAGGTCCCTGTAGACTGTGAGGTCCCTGTAGACTGTGAGGTCCCTGTAGACTGTGAGGTCCCTGTAGACTGTGAGGTCCCCGTAGACTGTGAGGTCCCCGTAGACTGTGAGGTCCCCGTAGACTGTGAGGTCCCCGTAGACTGTGAGGTCCCCGTAGACTGTGAGGTCCCAGTAGACTGTGAGGTCCCTGTAGACTGTGAGGTCCCTGTAGACTGTGAGGTCCCTGTAGACTGTGAGGTCCCTGTAGACTGTGAGGTCCCTGTAGACTGTGAGGTCCCTGTAGACTGTGAGGTCCCTGTAGACTGTGAGGTCCCTGTAGACTGTGAGGTCCCTGTAGACTGTGGGGTTCCTGTAGACTGTGAGGTCCCTGTAGACTGTGAGGTCCCTGTAGACTGTGAGGTCCCTGTAGACTGTGAGGTCCTGAGCTGCAGCTTAGTTAGCTTGTGGCCATATACAGCATCGGGTGTAGGATATTGGTATTTTTTTCTTAACTGATTTTATTCTTTAAAAAAATGATGTAACACCCAAAAGTCTTCATTTTAGTATTGTAATAATTGTTAAATGTTGCAAGAATATACCATTCAGTATTTTAATAACTTCAAAATGTTGCAAGAATATACCATGTGACATTATATGATGTAACATCCAAAAGTCTTGATTTTAGTGTTGTAATAACTGTGAAATGTTGCAAGAATATACCATGTGACATTAAATGATGTAACATCCAAAATTCTTGATTTTAGTTTGTAATAACTGTGAAATGTTGCAAGAATATATCATGTGACATTAAATGATGTAACATCCAAAAGTCTTGATTTTAGTGTTGTAATAATTGTGAAATATTGCAAGAATATACCATGCAACATTAAATGATGTAACATCCAAAAGTCTTGATTTTAGTGTTGTAATAACTGTGAAATGTTGCAAGAATATACCATGTGACATTAAATGATGTAACATCCAAAATTCTTGATTTTAGTTTGTAATAACTGTGAAATGTTGCAAGAATATATCATGCAACATTAAATAATGTAACATCCAAAAGTCTTGATTTTAGTGTTGTAATAACTGTGAAATGTTGCAAGAATATACCATGTGACATTAAATGATGTAACATCCAAAATTCTTGATTTTAGTTTGTAATAACTGTGAAATGTTGCAAGGATATATCATGCGACATTAAATGATGTAACATCCAAAATTCTTGATTTTAGTTTGTAATAATTGTGAAATATTGCAAGAATATACCATGCGACATTAAATGATGTAACATCCAAAAGTCTTGATTTTAGTGTTGTAATAACTGTGAAATGTTGCAAGAATATATCATGTGACATTAAATGATTTAACATCCAAGTCTTGATTTTAGTGTTGTAATAATTGTGAAATGTTGCTACAACTGACCTCGTGCAGTGGATAGGCGGCGCTGTAGGCTCCGATACTGAGCATCTTCTTGATACCTGGAGGACATACATCAGTGAGTGTTAGTTCATGCAGATGACACACTGCTTAGACAAACACAGTTGCAGCACACAGTAATTCTGTTTAATAGCACCCAGAGGTGAAAGTCTGAGTGCACATAATTATGTGTGAAGGTGAAGGTTCGCGCGGCATACCTTCACACAGCAGCCTGGGCACTAATCTGTCATGATATACAGTCTTACATGCTCTGTATCATTATTTTTTTCTAAAATGAACTTTTGGCCCATATGTGCCGAAAAGGTGAAGACATAAGAGAAATGTCTGGACAACCATTGCTATTAGCAATGACCAGACACAGATGATGGCTATATATGGGCACATTCTGAGTAAAAATTGAGCAGAAAATCACCAGACAGGCAATGAAATGAGAAACAAATTGATTGAGGAATGATGATGGCAAAGAGAAATCCTTGATGAAAGGGCCAAATAAGTTCATCTATGATATTGACATGATATTATAGGATTTAGAATATACCTGCTGAACTACTCAAAGCGACAGAAGAGGTAGGAATAAAATAGATGCACAGAGTGTTCAACCTAGTCTGAACAACACAAAGGACACTGGAGGAATGGAGAAACACAATAATAGTACCCATCTGGAAGTAGAAAGGTGGCAAGAGAGACTGTGAGAAGTATAGAGGGGTTTCGTTATTGAGCCACACCGATAAAATATTTGGTAATGAAACAGGCGCTGGACGACTGTTATATAAATTGAATTAGGCTTATTTAAGCGAGCTAAAAACCTGGCCAACTTGGGGTCAGGAAGTGATAAAACAGATGGGAGTGTTCAGTTTGCCCTCTTAAGCCTCTGCTATTCGAACGAGTAACACGTAGTTCTAATTTTTCCGTTGCCTTCAATGGTTTAGCGCAACGTGGGTTGAGGTGTGTAGTCAGCGATAAATTTCATCTGTTGTAGGGTATTTTTTAGCACTTTGTGAATTTTAATACATTATTATTTGTGAAGACCTAAGCTTATGTTCAGTGAAATAAACAGATATGGAATGTGATAATTATAGTTCCATCTTTTTGATTCGGATTAGGACTTGTGATTAGTGTGCGTAATTTAGTCTATTTGTTGCCACCTAACGAACTATTTTCCTTTATTTTTATCTTGGTACTAAGGGCTTCTCCGTCCTAGTACAAAAGGGGTTTCGTTATTGAGCCACACCGGTAAAATATTTGGTAAGATCCTTGCAAAAAAGGCTATCACTATCATTGAACCACAAATGAGTGAAGGACAAAATAGGATTTTAGAAATGCAGAAGTTGTACTGAATTGTACTGATTCACACTTAGAAAAATTGATGTAAAGGATGGTAGAATGTGATAAAGAATTACATGACGCATTTGTAGACCAAGATTAAGCTTTCAGTTATATTAATAGGAATAAATTATGGAAGGTTCTAGAGGAATATGGAGTATTTTATTAAACTGTGCAAGGGTTTACATGTGAACAGTCAATGTACAGTTAGAACAAATACGAGAATGTCAGAAAAGTTCTACATTTGATCTGGCCAATCAAGTTTTAGACCAAATGGCAACAATTCTGAAATGCAAGCATGTGAAAAGCAACACTAAAGAGCCCTGTTAATGCAGTTTAAAATAATAATAATAATAAAAATAATAGTAGTGAAATGGATAATGAGAAATGGTCTGGGGAAAAAAGTTCTCAATCAGATACTGACCACATCACCTATCAAGTGTTGATTAGTCTCTGACTAATTGAGTTTGTACATGGTATCCGATACACATCAAAACAGGAAAAGGCCGACTAAGATTTTATAGCAAGCAGAAAGTGAAGACAATGTTTTTCTGCATGTATCCAGGGCTTCAAATGAAAACCTTAAAAAGATAGATATTAAAATCACCATGTCACAGTCTTGTTACATTCAGTAGTAATGTTAAGGATGTCAACAGTGTTAAGCAATGACATTACAGTGCAGACGGACACAGTGACACCATAATGACAGTTTAAAGATGTCCACTTTAAAAATGCACCCAATTTCTATTGCATTTTTAAGGTTTTCATTTCAAGCCTCCTTATATTTGTTGATGTATTTATGAATGAACTTGTGGATATATCTATGGATATATTCATGAATGTATCCAAGGATGTGATTCAAATGAGTAGCAAACAGTAAATACAATATCCACAATACCCACCAAATTTGTTCTTGGAAGGATCGCCCACATCTTCAAACACTGCCCTAGACAAGATCTGGTGGGTGATGAGGCTTCGCTGGGCTGGAGTGAAAAATGTGTCTTTATCCTGGATGATAAACCTGTAGAAAGAGAGAATAAGACGTAAATGCTTGGCTCATCTGTGCAGTGGTATCTCGGATGTATAACGATGTGTCACACATATAATCGTGTCATTGTGTTGAATGGCATCTGCAATGAAAACTGGAGCAGAGGCAGCACATTTATGAGAACCACTTTAGTTGCTTTATGTGCCTTCATATTTGCTGTATGTATGTGTGTGTGTATGTGTACGTATGTATGTAATGTATGTAATGTATGTGTGTGTATGTGTTTGTGTGCTTGTGTGCATGTACGTGCGTACGTACGTACATATGTATGTAATATGTATGTATGTATGATGTACGTATGTATGTATGTACTTATGTATGTATGTGTGTGCGTGCGTGCATGCATGTGTGTGTGTGTGTATGTATGTATGTTTGATGCAAGCACATACATGCGATAACTGTCTCCTCGTGCTATCTCCTCTTTAACACTATGTATCCCAGTTATAACCCTGAGGGTTGAACAGGATATTCTAGAAAAATTACTACTGCTCCTCCTGATACTAGTGATAACAGTTGTGTGCGTATGCTAAACTTTTTCACAACATTCATATGATTGAAGTTAGTTATTCAAGGAGTATGCCGCATTCTTCTGTGAAACCACGTCTCCAAGAAAAGGGGACAAGTTTGCTTGTAAATAAACTCACCCCACCCACCGACACACCCAAACACATACACATCTAATTGTATTTCAAAACGAATCAGCAACTTTTTTTCCTTTGAGGTCCAGAACAGTATGCAGTACCGCCACCGTTTTATGTATTTTCCCCTCAGCTTTAGTATAATAGACACTTTGTGGTGATTTTAAACATTTTTTTAATCCTTAAAAAAAAAATTTTAAAATCCCCGCATTGAATTTTTTACGTACAGTAATGAAAACACACACAGTAAACTAAAAAAGGGAGTTTATTCACGCCTTCCAACTACTGGGTATATAGAGCTAGAGTTATATTTTATAGATCAATCAGCAAACGATAGGTGATGTGGTTAGCGCCACACCGGCCGCTTTTACCTTCCGTGACTTTACCTAGTACCCATTTAAGACCGGGTCGACCTGGACGCCAAGGCTATTTAAAAAAAAAAAAAAAGTCCGCCCCTTGTCAGGACCTCAACCCACGACCTTCTGATCCTCAGGCGAGCTTCTATCGACTACACCAGGGTGGCTGCAATATACATAACATGTGACTTACTGGTGTTCCCGCGATCGAGAAAACGAGGCGGTGAAATAATCGGGAATCTCCGGCAGAATGGTGCTGTCGTAGTCAAACGGTGTTGGACATTTGGACCAGCAACTTGTCAGTTTGTTGATGAGGTCATTTTCCTGAAGGGAGAAATTATAGTTAAAGCAATATACAGAAGGAAGTAGTAGCTGTTGAAGAAGAAGAAGATGGATACAGGAGGAGGATGAGGAGGAGAAGAAAAGAAGATAAAATAATATTAATAATATTAATAATGGTGATAATGATGATGATGATGATAATGATGATGATGATAATAAGGATAAGAAGAAGAAGGAAGAGGCAATTTTTACTAGAAAATATTTATATGAAACCATTCTGTCAACACTCGAGCGCGCTCGCTCGCCCATACACACACACACACAGACACACACACACAGATACACAAACAGACACACACACAGACACACACACACAGACACACACATATGCAAACACACAGACACACACACAGACACACACACAGATACACACACACATACACACACACAGACACACTCACACAGACACACTCACACAGACACACACACAGACACATACAACTACCCTAAGAACCAAACCAAGAACAAAGAACCTAACAACACACAGACACATACAACTACCCCAAGAACCAAACAAAGAACCTAACAACACACAGACACATACAACTACCCCAAGAACCAAACAAAGAAACTAACAACACACAGACACATACAACTACCCCAAGAACCAAACAAAGAACCTAACAACACACAGACACATACAACTACCCCAAGAACCAAACAAAGAACCTAACAACACACAGACACATACAACTACCCCAAGAACCAAACAAAGAACCTAACAACACACAGACACATACAACTACCCCAAGAACCAAACAAAGAACCTAACAACACACAGACACATACAACTACCCCAAGAACCAAACAAAGAAACTAACAACACACAGACACATACAACTACCCCAAGAACCAAACAAAGAACCTAACAACACACAGACACATACAACTACCCCAAGAACCAAACAAAGAACCTAACAACACACAGACACATACAACTACCCCAAGAACCAAACAAAGAAAAACTAACAACACACAGACACATACAACTACCCCAAGAACCAAACAAAGAAACTAACAACACACAGACACATACAACTACCCCAAGAACCAAACAAAGAACCTAACAACACACAGACACATACAACTACCCCAAGAACCAAACAAAGAAACTAACAACACACAGACACATACAACTACCCTAAGAACCAAACAAAGAACCTAACAACACACAGACACATACAACTACCCCAAGAACCAAACAAAGAACCTAACAACACACAGACACATACAACTACCCCAAGAACCAAACAAAGAACCTAACAACACACAGACACATACAACTACCCAAAGAACCAAACAAAGAAACTAACAACACACAGACACATACAACTACCCCAAGAACCAAACAAAGAAACTAACAACACACAGACACATACAACTACCCCAAGAACCAAACCAAGAACAAAGAACTTAACAACACACAGACACATACAACTACCCCAAGAACCAAACAAAGAAACTAACAACACACAGACACATACAACTACCCCAAGAACTAAACAAAGAAACTAACAACACACAGACACATACAACTACCCCAAGAACCAAACAAAGAATCTAACAACACACAGACACATACAACTACCCCAAGAACCAAACAAAGAAACTAACAACACACAGACACATACAACTACCCCAAGAACCAAACAAAGAACTTAACAACACACAGACACTCACTGCCAGCGGCATCTTGAAGTTCATAATCTCGGCATATCTGGTCAGCACGTCCCAGGTGGCGTGTACTTTGATGTAGTAAGTCGTCTGGTCCTTAGAATACTGTACATAGAATATTGGGACAGTCAGTGTTCGTTACAATAAAGTACTTTATAACAGGGCTTTCCCCCTAGACTAGGAACGTAGTTTTCTTCCAGATATTCACACCATTTTCGGACCATACAAAATTATCGGCTGGAACTGAGCCTGCAGTAGGCGGTGAAATATTGAATTAACTCGTGGGGTTAGAACAAATGATCCCGGGGCCGTATAAAGCCACAGGAACAGAATGTTCTGCATCCTTATAATAAACTGGATTAACAGATATGTAATCACGAAAGTAGGCTTGGTGCTTTCCAAATATGTCACCACAAATACAGGAAATCCACAGGTTACAGGACAGTCTAATATTTATGGGGTTGGTATAGTGTAGTAATATGGCAATACATTTGTTGTGCTGTTTTGTGCTGTGCAGTTGTCAGTTTTGTGTGCTTTTTGTGCTGTGGGTGTGTGTGTGTGCATTTCCTGTGTGTTGTGCACTCTATGTGCATTCAGGGATGAAGGGCGTGGGGAGCAGTTTTTGTGGGTTTGGCAACGCCTTGACAGACACACAGACAGCGGGAAATCCGCTCTTACCATAAAAATATTGGAATATCCGTGACTTTATTTGTGGTGAAATATTGTGAATGTACCATAGGTTTTATAATTTTATCACACAGGCCTGGATTTAGACTCGATAAAGCCCTAAGCTTGAATTAAATCCCAGCTAATCTCAGAAAAATTGTAAATACATAAGTCACTTAAATATATGGACTCCTCCAAGGTCGAAGGTTATTTGTCTGAAAATCGAGGAAGCCTATAAATTATCCAGATAATAAAATCGCATACAAAGATTATTACAAGAAAATTGCATTTGTTAATATAAAAGACTTTCTGTGATGCCCAAAGATAGTTTATTAAACATAAAGCCAGCACTGCGTCACACAAAGATCAGAGAGTGTTGAGCCAACAAGTTGTGATATGTTTTAATAATGAAGCCATTAACAAGATGGCATCTTTCAAGTTACAGTTAGAAGTGTTTACCGAGCTTCTTGTCACCTGCTTGTGTCTACACTGACCAAAACCTAAAACTAAGAAGACAAGATGTGTCTGAGACACGTGGCGGAAAAGACAGTAACAAACCCTGCATTGTTCTGAAAGGGTTAAGTTTTGCAGTCATGGTTTGTATGGTATTTAGTACTCGGCTTGTATCGAAACGTTCGCTTGTATTTGTGCCCGTTTTTTTCCACTCTCTTCGTTCAGCTTTCTAGTCACAGTTTATGTTATTCAGGACTTTGTATACTTTGTACACAACTGCTTGGCGCTTACTTTACAATACACAACAGTTAGGTACAGAAGTACAGTTAGTGATACTGTTAACATAGTTCTACACTACACATGACACCGTTGATGTATGCTATACTACACATGACAAAGCTGGTGTATATACATAATTATGTATGAATTAAAAACACATGCAGGAGGGAGCTAGAGAATGAAGTTAAAAAGATGGGGAGGACTTGGGGTGAACTACATATTACAATCAATGGAAAGGTGTAAATCAACCCGCACTACAAATGATACATTAAGTGTAAACAAATGTAGCTGTGCTGTAAACAATACAGCAGGTTTCTACACAGGAAGGTCAGGACGTTACAAACTCGTGTAGATAACAAGCTAATGCAAATTGGTAGCTTCCAAAGGTTAAGGCCGGTGGCAAATCTGTCAAACGTTCAATTTGTGCAGGTAACTGGCTGCTTTCTCGTAACATACAGACAACAATAACATCAAACGTTGATAAGACCAGTCGTTTTATTTGGCTCTGAAACGTGGAGCACAACTAAAAGAGATGAAGACTTATTACAAATTGTACAAAACAGAGTGTTACAACGAATCGTTGGACCCATCAAAGATGCAAACAGCGGGGAAATGGAGAGTGAGAAGCAACAAGGAAATGCATAAACTGTTTAAATCACCTTTGATCACTGGCATCATGAGAGCTAATAGACTGAAATGGCAGGGGTATATTGAAAGAATTTCAAATAACAGCGAGGTAAAAACTGTATACACGAGTGAGCTGAGTGGTCGTAGACCACGAGGCAGACCAAGAAGACGATGGAGAGATAACTCCCAGAAAGACCTGCAATCACTCGGTGTCACCAACTGGAAAGAGAAGGCCAACCAGAGAGATGAGTGGAGGTGGGTGATATCTGCAGCAATGAACCTCAAGGGCTCGGAATGCTGAAAAATAAAAAGTGACCACCTTCAACTGTTAGAGAAATTATACGCAGACAGTCGGTGTTTTTCGGACATGTTGACATGTTATGAGAAGAAATCGACTCGATAACCGATTAACAAAAGGCGAGATTGTGGGGGGGGGGGGGGGGGGGGGGGGGGGGGGGCAAGAGAAAGGCAAACAGATAAATACCTAGATGGCATAACCATATGAAGGAGGCGAGCCAAGAACACTAATCTGATCCATGATTCCTGCAATCTTATGAGATGGGGAAACAGGACGGCCCATGATAGTCAGCGCGGCACATGATGATGATAACCATGAACTGACCAAGGCTGTCTGATGTGCTTAGAACGCTTTTGACTCTGCTGGGCACAGCCACACCAGTAACGCCGACAGTCTCATAACAATATGGAATGTCCCAGTATCTTTGCCTACACTAGCAAGTATTGGATATCCCAGTTTCTTTGCCTACACTAGAAAGTATTGGATATCCCAGTGTCTTTGTCTACACTAGAAAGTATTGGATATCCCAGTGTCTTTGCCTACACTAGAAAGTACTGGATATCCCAGTGTCTTTGCCTACACTAGAAAGTACTGGATATCCCAGTGTCTCCGTCTACACTAGAAAGTATTGGATATCCAAGTGTCTTTGCCTACACTAGAAAGTATTGGATATCTTAGTGTCTTTGCCTACACTAGAAAGTATTGGGTATCCCAGTGTCTTTGCCTACACTAGAAAGTATTGGATATCCCAGTGTCTTTGTCTACACTAGAAAGTATTGGATATCCCAGTGTCTTTGCCTACACTAGAAAGTATTGGATATCCCAGTGTCTTTGCCTACACTAGAAAGTATTGGATATCCCAGTGTCTTTGCCTACACTAGAAAGTATTGGATATCCCAGTGTCTTTGCCTACACTAGAGAGTATTGGATATCCCAGTGTCTTTGCCTACACTAGAAAGTACTGGATATCCCAGTGTCTCCGTCTACACTAGAAAGTATTGGATATCCAAGTGTCTTTGCCTACACTAGAAAGTATTGGATATCTTAGTGTCTTTGCCTACACTAGAAAGTATTGGGTATCCCAGTGTCTTTGCCTACACTAGAAAGTATTGGATATCCCAGTGTCTTTGTCTACACTAGAAAGTATTGGATATCCCAGTGTCTTTGCCTACACTAGAAAGTATTGGATATCCCAGTGTCTTTGCCTACACCAGAAAGTATTGGATATCCCAGTGTCTTTGCCTACACTAGAAAGTATTGGATTTCCCAGTGTCTCCGTCTACACTAGAAATGTAATACCACAGATATGGTGGCCATAATAACTCCAGCAGAAAACGGGACATCCCACCAAAAATGTTAGCTGAAAACAGGACATGGCACCAATATTTTGAGCTGAAAAGGGGACATCGCACCAACATTCTGGGCTGAAAACACGACATCCTACTAATATTTTGAGTTGAAAACAGGACATCCCAACAATATTTTGAGCTAAAAACGGGACACCCTACTAATATTTTGAGTTAAAAACAGGACATCCCACCAATATTTTGAGCTAAAAACGGGACATTCTACTAATATTTTGAGTTAAAAACAACACACCCAAGCGAAATAGACTTTCTTAGGCCATGCCCAAAATTTGTAGGACACCGCTGGAACTCTTCGCCTGCTGCTGAAGATGGAGACTATAAGAACTTATAGGGGTGTCCCGAATACTGTGATGTAGATTCCTAATTCAACATTCAACATAAGACACCGAAAACTTTAAACTAACCGAAATCCAATCCTATTTTGCCTAGTGTGAACAGGATATATCTACTAGGACATTTTATGAAACGATCACCGAGTAGACGTGCAGTTATAGCCAGACCCACCCGCAGTGGACTGCATGTGACTTCGTCACCAGTTTCTGGTAAGTAAAGGTACGGCCCCTTTCCACGTCTTCAAGCGTATTGGGCATAAGGGTTAGATCTTTCTTTCCTAGGACAAAACCTGATACCAATTTAAGGCTGGCCAAGTCATTTCTGAAACAAGTGTGGTACCGCCAGGACTCAAACCCACAACCTTCTTATCCGCAAGCGAGCGTCTAGCCACTACACCACAGCGGCTCCCAACCGTTGTGTGGCGCCCCTAGTATAACGGTGCTGTATGGCTAAACAGGGTTTTCGGAATTTTTACTGGTACGATTCTCATCCCTGAGATGTTAGCTCTACCGACTGCAATCCTACAGGGAAAGTCACCTCTCGAACCTGCAGCAGGATGTGTCACAATCATAATTTCCAACTGTTTTCATATTGGCTTGATGCAGCCGTGTCGTATCTGCTGTGTCAGCGGTGTCTGGAGACCACCCAGGAACACATCTGTGACCTGTTAGTCACCCCAGTCACGTGAGTTATGTCATAACTGATCTGGGTATGTATTACATTTTTATAGACACACACACACACATGTAACATAATCTATGTACACATATACATATATATCAGCAGTAAGAATGTGCAATATATAGAACGCACATTAAAATTGTCTTTATGCTTATATATATATATATTCTGACTAAATTGAAGAAATATAGCCACTCTCGCACTGGTAATAAGACTAAATTGATGAAATATAGCCACTCACGTTCTGGTAATCTGACTAAATTGATGAAATATAGCCACTCACGCACTGGTAATTTGACTAAATTGATGAAATATAGCCACTCACGCACTGGTAATATGACTTAATTCCTTCTCTACCTTTTATTCGCCAGTGGAGCATACTCCCATAACCAATGTATCCTTCACTATCGCAAGTAGTCACCCCATGTCCTTCCCATCTTTTTTAACTTCACTCTCTTAACTCCCTCCTGCACGTGTCTTTGGACCTTTATTTCTATACCCCTGTCTGGTTTCAATTTAATGCTTTTCTATTTATGTTATTCTCAGGGTTTCTCGGTATGTATCCTATGCCAATGCCAATGTCTTGTCCTCACTTCATCGTTCACTGGAACTTCTTTAGTTTCTACTAAAGCTATCATTACTGATCTTGTCGTAAATTTGTTTTCTACTCCGCATGTTACCGGGGAAATCAAAGAACAGAACACTGTACCCTACCAGGCATGTGGTGAGAGTCGGATAAAGGTAGGGTTAGGCTTGGGGTTGCATACAAGTCAGCTAACCATGGACAAGCCAAAAAGGTAATGTTAACTGCAGACTCATTTGTGACTGAAATGGACTATGAAAGATATAGATCCTGCAGACAACATCCTGCGCCCATATTTTACAACCATCTAAGACATTAGGAATGACACATCCTGGTAGAGGCTAGGTCGACCTGTTATACCACGATAAAAATCCCCGCAGTGGGATTCGATCGCGGTACGTTGGATTACGAGTCGGACTGCTAACGCCTTAGCCACGGACTGCTTTAAACCTCAGTAAACAATTAGAAAACACTAGTGAATCTGATTGTTAAAGTGGAGGACAGGCGAGCAAGACACAGGCAGTGATACAAATGGGAAGATAACATTGCGAAATAGACAACAATCAGTCTGACAGAGAGTGTATCCTGGCGACAGATAAAGATATCCGAAGGACCATTGCAGCCAACTTTAACCGTGGAGACGGCACTTAACTGACTGAGTGACGTCGTGCACCTGTCCCTACAGTCCCTGGTATGTGGCGTTAGTTAGCATGTCTCTCCACAGCCTACTGTCTCATCTACTGCCTGTCATGTTCAGTAAAGATATTCTGCTCTTGCATTCTGCCAAACCATTCTTCTTCTGTCTTAGTCTTCTGTTTCTTTTTTCCTTTTTGGTTTGGAAAAAGTCACCTTGCCGTAGCTAAGAGTCGAAATCCCACCATGTGGCGTCATCAGTTCGCACGTGTAAACCGTTTAGACAAAATTAAGCATTGGCAGGTAACAATTACACTGGAGAGGGCGTCACGTGATATTTTTCTTTTCGTCGCTTCGCTGTTCACTTTATGAGTTATGAGTTGGATTATCTATTCAGCACTCCGGATACAACCGTATGAGTTCAAATTCCCCCTTTAACATATTCGTCAGCGTCAAGTGGTTAATAGTGCCAGTCCTATGCTGGTTGACAAGATTTCGTATGCGTCCGGTGTGCTTCTCGTGCTTGTCTGTACCGAATTTTACTCAGAATTCTCGTATTCTTCGAGATTGTGTGTGCGTACCCAGCATCATAGTATCAGACAAAGCGAGTAATTTATTTCTGAGTCTATCTCCATATATGGAAAATAAGAAGACAAATAGATGCATGCCTGGAAGGCCCAGACAAGCGGATGGGTGGGGATAAGAGCGCAGACCTATCCGTGATTCTGGTGATCGTGTTTAGGGCCGTATTGAGGTATGTACACCGCCTTCTCCAGGTAAATAGTCGGCTGTGGGTATGTAAAACATTTTCCGCGGCTTGGAGCGGAACCATTTTTGAGGCGGATACATTTTAAGTGTGGCAAAATATTGCTAGTAGTATAAAATGTTAATTTATAAAAAGAAGGTGTACAGTAAATGGCTGCAAAAGCGGCGTCATTCACCCTAAATACGGCTCTGACCGGGAGGGATGATAACCATGGCACATGATGTTGATAGTTTCCGTACCCACAAAGCAATAATCTTATTTTTCATGCATATGTCAGATGTTTATAATTTTCAATTAAAAATAACCCTTGCACCAAATTATACTTGCAAATAAAAAAATGCAAACAAAAATTGCAACCAATACACATAGAGCATTGGTGATTGCGGCGTGAGGTGATATTTGTCTTCTACAAACGAAGGTGATGTAAACATTTGGCTGCAACTACTAACAGTGATCATATAGGAACTCACCCAAACAAAACCATGGCTTAGTTTTTAAATGGAATTAAAAACTGTCGCTTCCTCATGAGCGTACGACAAACAGGAAAGACAAAAATGACATTAACTACATACATATGGTCTAAATGTGACGTGTGTGTATACAAAAGTGGTCAGATTATTAATTATAATACACAAAAGTAATTAATAAAACGTTATTTATGTAACAGTAATTGATATGGTGAAACAACAGAGGGGTCTGGAGCTGAGAATGTAAGGCCGCATGACTACTGCTGTCACCATGGACTGTGCAGTTGAGGATATTTATTTGTGTCCCTTAGGTTCATCACCTAACATGGTTTCGAACCTGGATTGGAACTCCCGAATGACAGCCCTGTATTCTAACCATGTAGCTCTAATTTTCGTTAACATCTTGTATATCTGGGTCATTCAATTAGGCTGCCTGTAGCTTTCGCGTTATGTTCACTTTCATAATCGCGACACACCAGGGCTGGAAAGTCGGAGGCGATTTGTTGCAGGCCTCTGGGCGTTGGTTGTATCAACGCTATAAGCGTCGTACCGTTTATAAAGCAATGAGAAAAGACTAACTGTAAAACTGCTTAGTAAAACTATACAATATTTAATAAGCGATGGAAAAAGATTCCGAACTGCCGTAAAAGATATGATGCTGAGATGTTTAGTATGTATATAATAACAATGTATAAAGGCGGTATTTACTGGCTTACAAAAATTATAGGTATTTTTTTAGAGGGCTATTTATTAAAAATTGTTATTTCTTTAATATATATCTTGTCGACAAAACTGGTAGGCCCTTAGCTGATCTATGAGGTAACTCTGACGGACGGACAGACAAGACACTACCCTTCTGATCCAGCAGCTTCTACACCATCATCATCATCATGTGTCTTGCCGACTGGAGTGGGCGATCATGCCTCTCCGTAATCTACGATCTCCTGCAGCATGTATCAGTTCGTGTGCTTACATACCTCCATGCCATGCAACATGACTGTCAAGAATCTTTTCTCGTTGTCTTCCTCTATCCCTCCTTCCACAGATCTTCCTAGCGGTCACAACATGTTCTATTTTCCCTCTTCTCATAACATGGCTGAAAAATGATGACTGTCTCCTCCTGATGTCTTCTACACCATGCTTGGTTCCAATCGTATCGGTGTTTGCCTTTCCTTTGGAGTTCAAAAAGCAGGCCGAGAGAGAGAGCAAAACGTGGTCTACAAAAATGGGCAAGCTTTGTACTATGACGAGAATACATTTAATCTCTGGTCTTAAGTATGAAGGCCTTCTCCGAACACAGCTGGTTCTAGTGGCACTCGCCATCGCCATGGGCTGTGCTTGCCACGTATCTCTACATCATAATAAATCACTATCGTCACAAGAGATAGAAAGGGAGCAACGGTAGACAACACAAACAACGAACCACTCTCTCGGCTTCCTCCAGTTGAAGCCCCTCCTTCTGAATGCTGGCCTGGAAGTTCCTCCTCCACTTCTGCTTCTTGGCCTCATCTTCGGGGTTGCTGTCTTTCTTGTAGACCAGGACAAAGTCGATACGGCGGACACCGTCCTCGAAGAACAAGATGGCGTCGTCCTGTAGATAAAACATGCAAGAGATGGCTGACCGCTTCTATGGCAACCATTCCAAACTGCAGAATTATTTTTCCTAGTCACTTTATACAACCCATCTCCCCCCAATGAGATATCTCATTAATTTTGGTTCAAAAGACGTCTCAGAACATATTTCCTTTCAGGGCATGTCTAATTTTCTTTTTCGTGTTTAGAAAAATAAATAAATTGCTTTTTATCGAGAAGCACAATTTATATTTGTTCTTATACAGGCATCTCATCTTCATCTGAAACATCTTTTTAATTCAGTACCTCCGACCAGATGCGCCCGGCTGCCTGGCGATCTTACCAGGGGCTTACATTTGGGGCCGGGCTAATATACAAAATCCTGTCAGGGCTTATTTTCTGGGAAACACGGTGTACACATCTCTGTCAACGAATATACAGCCGGATCAAGAATAGTGGCGCATAAGTGCACTTCTGACCAATAACCCCAACGTGTTTGGACATATCAGTACGCTGACAGACACGCTATTTGTTCTGTCAGGGCCGCAGATCCTAACCATCACACTTGGAAGCCACCACACCAAGTCAACTAATTATTTACATTATGACATCATTATCCCCATCGATCTTTTCAGAATGTGGCTTTCATCCTACCCTCTTGACCCTGGCGGTGGTCGACGTTTAGCATTTGTTTCAGAGACCAACACTCCTGTCATCGTTCTGATAAACAGCTGTGATGTTTTATATCATGCTAGTTGCCAGAAAAGTATGATGTTAAAAGCTAGTTATTCCCCCATCAGCCCTTGTAAGAATTCTTCTTCTACTTCTTCTTCTTCTTCTTCTCCTTCTTTTTCTTCTTCTTCTTCTTCTTCTTCTTCTTCTTCTTCTTCTTCTTCTTCTTCTTCTTCTTCTTCTTCTTCTTCTTCTTCTTCTTCAGCATTCCGATCCCCTGAGGTTCATTGCTGCAGATATCACCCGTCTCAATTCATCTCGCTGGTCACTTCCGGTCGATTTTAGGATGACATTTGTCGTTATTTGAAGCCCTACCCTTGCTCTTGCCAGGGGCCGTAATATAGCCCTACCATAAACATGGCCTAATGGCTGAACGCGGATTCTGGGACCTCTCCACGGTGATCCTCATCCAAATGGTGGCACATTGTGTTATCGGGTGTTTATCGCTTGTGTGATGTCCTGGTGGGGTAGAAAGTCAGTCTGTCATCTCTCTGGTTAGCTTTCTCTTTCCAGTTGGTAACACCAAGTGTCACTTTCGTCTTAATAACATAATTATTTGATGTTATTTTCTCTATGTAACATTTGATTTCAGCAGTCAATTTGTTCTGTAATGATTCTGAAATTGTCAGTGATCCACGTACACATTTTGTGTTAAGAAAAAAAATGCACGTTCTCTAAATATAAACTGTAATTTGCATATAAAGTAATAAAAACGTGAATGGTGTCGTGGCGTGGTCACTCACAAGTATCAAAGAAATATTACAACAGTTCATTATTTATTTTATGACAGAATTTGAAATTGTAAGCCATAAGTTTAATACATATTTTAAATAACTGACTGTCATTTTCCAAAGATTTTTGAAAGCTCTCACAAAAACTTTGAAGATTATTCATCACATAGTTTATAATATACTGCACAACACACTAAGTAAAGTAAAAAGTAAAGGACCCTTTTCCACGCCTTTAGGCTATAGGGCATATAGGGCCAGACCTATATTTTTATAGACCAATCTGCACAAGATGGGTGATGTGGTCAGCATCACGCCGGCCACCTTTACTTCCTGGGACTGCACCCGGTACCCACTCAATGCTGGGTCGACTTTGGAGCCAAGGTCCACAACACAGTGGATTTAGCTAATCTTTGAAAGCTGTTGAGTAAGATATCAATGTGTTTTGACACGAAGTTCAAATTTCAGTAACTACTGAATGTGTCTAATTAGGTTATTTAAAAACTTGGAATTGTTAAAGGAAAAAAAAAAAAAAAATCAAAGTTATTTCCCAATGATACAATAAATGCATAACATACAATTCAGAATCAGAAACAAAACCGCAGTACAGAATAAAAATTTTAATGTAAAACAATAAAATATGTTAGAGATAATTAAATAAATAAATAAAGAAACAAAAGAAACAATTCTGTCACATCAAATTAGAAGACAAACACATAAAAACCAAGCCATATGGCGAATGTCTCAGCCACCAGGGAGGTCTGCTTGTTGTCCACTTGTGTCATTTAGTGTCCGTGGAAGCTGATATGTTTGATATACTGCCAAATGAATCTAATAGACCGCGCATATATTTGTGTGTGTGTGCGTATAAGTGTGTGTGTTGGTGTGTCCATGTGATCTTGGTCTACAGCCAGACTATCCTCTGTGTTCGCGCGCGTGTGTGTGTGTGTGTGTGTGTGTGTATGTGTTTGTGTGGGTGTATGTGTGTGTAGCAGGCTAGTGAGGTTTTTAGCCTGTTAATAATTTTGGTTTGGCTGCACTTGCAAACTAAAACTGGCCGGTTTGCAGATCGGGACTCGCTAGAAGTGGCAAGTTAATCGAACAGTTGATTTAAGGCTCAGTGCAGCAGAAAGCCTTTGGTCTTGCCAGTCGCCCCAGCGACATGTAGTCCTCCTATCATGGCAAAATTGTACAAGGTTCTCAATGCGACGTAGGTATGGTGGACTGAGGGGAGAGAACAAATTGGCTCTCTGGTTTCGTGACTGGTGGTACGTTCAGTAGTTGGACTGTGCTAGATCTAGATTTCTATGTGCATCCTAGCTCGGAGATTCCGACTGTAGGTCGCTTTGAAGACAAAGCGAACTCTCATCTTTGTTAGCTAGAGTGACTAGCACGTGGTGTTTTCGAACACGTTGTTGATTGATATTGTTATTGTAGTGTTATCGTTAGTAAAGACAGCTCTTTGATCAACGGCTGTGGGAAGAGGAAACCTGGAGAAGAACAACAGAAAAAGAAAGAAAAGATGGTAACACTGACATGGAATAGTGTGGTCAGAAAATCAGCAGGCTGGCAGCAATGGAGATCACTTGTGTGTGCCTTATGTGTTAATAGAATCGCAAGAGAATGTAGATATAACTTATCAATTTTTGAAAACATGTTTTAATGTAGCAAAATTAAAACACAATAACCTGTAACACAAAAAGAAGCATAAATGTTGCCTGGTTAAACGCAGATCGTTAGTATTTATTACAGAAAATATCTTGTTATGATATTAATAATGTACCCGTCAAGACTAAATAAACCAGGTAAACCACAAGTTT